TCCAAAGACAGAATAAAATTGTAGCAAGATTGTAATTAAAAAGATGAAAACTGATAAAGAGTCGTTTATTGTTTTGAAATTTTCTCATCATTAAACATTTTTCATTCGGTTTAATAAGCTATCATAAACATTTCAACCTATGATCTGATTAAAGATTTAAATTCGTGCCAGGAAATAGTCCGAGATATTGCCGTCCACGGTCGTATTTGTTTTATAGTCAGCAATTAAAGTCTTCCAGCTTGACGCTTTTGATTTACCTGCATTGCACTGACTTTGGCCCGAGTCATTTAATTTCCAACACAGTCTGATATTCTTACATCTAATCTTTATAAGGTACGATGACCCTTCACTCATATAAAATATAAGTATTTGTTATTTAAACAACAAAGTTCCTAGCTTGTACCTATTGGTTATTGACTGATTGGGGATATCGTATTGATATGAGTATTTAAGTCACTTTTTGTATTAGATTCAATAACACTAAATGTAGGTGTTGGTCCTGTGAAGGGCATTACTCGTCAATGGCGCACGCCTTCGCCCGCCCACACGCATATAAATTGTTGTCTTAACAGTATTAAAGACAAATTGCCTGTATTATATAGGTACGCGATAAGTATCTCTTTTTAATTAGGTTGCTCTTTCAGTATACTTAACTCATATATCGAAAATATTGCAAATTGCAAATACAAATTCAGTAGGTATTTTTGAACAATTATATAATCGTTGTAAATAACTAATAAATTCGGTCCTTGTTTACTATTTTTCTCTTTTCCATTCGTTAACTTTTTAAAAAGAAGTTAAAGCGCTGCAGTGACACTAGTTTCCTGAGAGTCATACTTAAAAGCGGATTTAGAAAAGATTAAATATCTGATACTGTCAGCTTATTCGTCAGAATATTTGCTAAGTTGCTTCGGTTAACAAATAAAAATATTTAAAAAAACGTATCTCCTTCTCTCCTTACGTTAATAAAATTAATCACTGACAATATTAAAACAAGTTTAGTACATCATAAAATAAAAATGCCTAGACCTCTAATTTTCGTTTACTGGCACGCGTGAAATATTAACCAAATAATGAAACGTCAAAATTCTTTTCATCATTTTGGAAAAGAGCATATACTCTTACACTTCTCGACCAATATCAACCAAACATAGCTCAGAACCACGGAAGGAAATTCATATCAAAGTTTGTTTTTCATCGTGTGCGTAAAAAAAAACGGGAAAAGAGTTATTCAAGTTAATTCTTCTTCAACATTACATAATCATTTCCTTTGTTACCAATTTAATATTTAAACAAAAGCCGTTAACGTCATCCGTTTGACGGTATTTTTTTTGTAACTGTGTTTGATTGTCATGCTGAGCGAATAGAACCCGAGTTTCATCGACTTCCATTAAACACTTTCAAAGCTACCTTATTGTCCTGCAGTTGATGGCAATAAGTTTCTACGTGATGGAATTTTTATATTTCCTATCTCAGGAATATTCGATTAATAAATTAAATAATAACATCGCATATTAGTAATACATATATTCGTCAATCTTATATAAAATAACTTAAACGTTTGTCGACTACTTGCGGAATTGCTAGTTTATAATCATAATATTAAATTCATATATTTATTAAAAGAATACTAGTGTTCAATTACTTTATATATACTAACGTAATAAGTAAACAGGGCATCAGTTAATGTTGTTTTTATTTCATTTTCAGTAAAGAGTCGCCTGCGCACGCCGCCGTCCGTCTGCTACATGAGCATTCCTGGTATGAGGTGAGTCATCGCAATATATTTATAAATAATGTATTTACTTATTAAGTGATGTTAGAATATTAAAATCACAGTTTCCACAAAACTATATACTTTACTTGATTACCTACTGATAAACAAATGAAAAAGAAACAATCGCGAGGATCCATATTTAAGAACAATTAGAAATTTTATATTAATTATTTAATAAAATTTAATAATAATAATAATAATATAAACATTGTATGATACTTTTGTTTGCTCGTGTAATTCCGAGCGAGTCTTCGTGAGGTCACTATTAGCAGACCGTGTATTAGTTTACGACGCACCTGCCTTGCAACTTGGATCGCGATGTCAATGCCCGTCAAACGCAGGACTATACAGTGTACACGACCACTAAACATAACAAATAAATGTCAAGTGCAAATATTACCTAATTGTTCTCTAGCTGTTTATATTTGGAAGTTAATATATGTATGTAATATAAGTACTATAAACAAACTGATATTAATTAATTCAATTAAGTTTGTATTTTGCTAGGAAAGATATTTATTAATATTGCTTATTTAAAATAGGTAATTGACGAACAATAACCTTGCAGTCCTACGCAATTTTTGCAATATATTTCATAACTGCATGAGATGAGTTGCAAGCGATAAATAATATTTCGGTGCTCGATTTAATTTTTAAAAATAAAATATTAACATAATTCCTTAACAATAATAAAATATGTAAGTGATTAATTAGTATTAACTTTACAAAGCACAATTTAAGTAATGACTATTACCCTTGAGATTTTTAAAACATATGAATAAAAGATATTTTATTTTAAAAAAAGTTAAAAAATTGTTAAATAAAAACTGTGTAAAGAGTCGTTTATTTTGTTACTCTTTTCATGTAAGTAATATAATTACAAAAAATATTAATATATAAATGAATATAATCAATAATATTTAATATATATTATCGAAAATACAGTTATAATAAGTGTTTCGATGCCTCATACCTATTTCAACCGTTCTTAATACAAGGTAGCGAAGTAATAAGCAGTATCTACTTAAATATCTGTACACATCTCTATAGCGCCATTAAGCACGTAATTACTGAACGCGTAAACAAATCAGCTCCAAGAATTATGGCGGGCAAGGCATTACCATTCGCACAAAGGAATCTTAAGTGTACAATAATCTAGGAATCCTGTGACGGTTATACTTGTTGAGTCCGTCAGAATGTTGCGTATTTGTTGCTACTTCTGAGTTGTGGCTCGATTTAAGTAATTACCAAGTGGAACTGTCGTCAACGTGCCTAGGAATTAGTTCAGCAATGTTAAGTTTTCATAATCTAGATGAAGATTTACTTAGCTTGTAAGTTGTGAAAGTTTAGTATATTTTGCGTAATTGTTATTTGATTTTATGTTACTGCAAAGAAGTACAAAGTAAAGATTTCCTTTTAATTAGTAAATTTATATACATCTTTAGAAGTCGATACTCATAATTAAATTTAGTTTTGTTGCTTTAGCAATAGCACGCCTCTTCTACGACAGAAAAAAATATATATATTTAAAAAAAAATATTCTCGACATATGAATTGCATGTAATTTTTTAGTTACAGCGGTTTTTTTTTCCTTTCATCTTGTTTGTTATTTCTAAAATCGTATAAAATTATATTCTAATTCAAGAATTAATATGTATTCAAAATTTGCTAAAATTCACAGCAGAGTTCCACTTTTGAAACCGATTGTAATTTAATATCAATTATGTAACTATTACGCCATAAAAACGATTTAATTGTGGATAATTATAAGTAACTAGCGTCTGAAGGCACGCGGATTTCCGGCGACAAAGTCCAACAACTACCTGTGATTCACATGACAATATTACTCGGTAAAATGATAAATTAAAATTTATGTTGCAGATTAAATAGCCATCGTATTTAATTACGACTGACACACGTCCGTCAAACATTAGAGTAATCATAGTCAAGGATGTTTCACGTTTCCAATACGGTTGTTTATCCACTCAATACAGTTACACTCATTTCCTTGGCTAATGATATAATGTCGTCTTCCTACATTATTATGCGCGACCAAGTTGTTTTTATATGTACACGTAAATTATGGTAAATATGTATATTTCTGTAGCATTAAAATGCTACACGGAAGATTTAACTGTGAAAAATTATGGCTTAGGTATATAAGGAATTCGCAGATAGTAAATAGACTATATTATTATTTCGGAAATAAATTGTGGGGCCTAGGTAAAATATGCACTTATCTTCTGCCAGTCAATCAAATCCCTGATAGGAGAGGAATAGTAGCAAAGAACTATCCGACCTTTAACTTTTGCTCTATATAAGAAAATTGTTTAATCTAAAACCACAAAAGCGTATTAAGCAAAACACTTTTTTTATTAAAATGAAATTTAAATGTTCTCACTACCAACCTAACCCCTGATATATGCTTTAGAGGTATATAAAATAATGTGCTAAAAACATATTTTCATAAAATACCTCTTAGAATCTCTTTGAAGTTTTTTATTGAATTATTCCCGTTTTGCGTATGCTGTTATATAATAGTCGTAAATAAAAGTTTTGCAGTATGATACCAGCAATGTTAAAAAACAGAAATGGTTAGTCCAGCTGCACAGATTAACTAAGCAATATTAACATATGAAAACATCGCGTGTTAACTAACACACGACTGCTTTGCTATGCTTAGCATATTACGGAGATGTTATATGCGTGCGAATACATTGCATAAGTTATTGAGTATGTGACTACTACAATTTACAAATAACAATATGCTTTTCTTTTAAACTGATAATATATTTTCTAATTCTACTATAACAACCCTACAATCACATTAAGCTAAATAAATCATTCATTCACTCAGGCAGAAAAGTAAGCAACTCCGAATATAATATACTATATTAAGTAATAAAATTAGCGCTACATTATAAATATACTCTTTGAAAACAATTTTCCTTTATGTAAAATTTTAATTCTTACTTGACGCAATTGATATGAGTACCTATTACCTATAGAATTATTTTCCAAAAGTCGTCATTGTCAATCACCTTGTAACAAACATTTTCAATTAAGTTCGGCTATAGGACTACACATACTCTAAACATTTTATAGTATTATATATATTTGAAATTGTGTACTGGTCACGAATTAATAATTACCAGCTATAATTAAAGCTTGTTTACAGAGCAGGGTGTGTTGTGCGCGCGCAATGGTTGCGTGATCGGTCATCATGCGCCTCTTCCGCGGGCCGAAGCGCAGGGAAGTGACCGGGCCGCAGGCCGCGACGTCTCCGCGCAGAGACGCCTCGCACACCCCGCCAACATACACTCTTGTCACTGCACTACCAGCAATGGTCATGGAGGACGATGCCAATGATATGAAAAAAGGTGCTGCGTCTTTGTATTTATCATTAAAAATTAGAGTTTTTAATAAAAATATTGAATAACTTTAAAATAAAGTGTTTCCAACACTTCGTGCAAAATTTTCAGATTCATGGATGTTTTTAAATTATTCCAGTGTTTGCTACGTGGGGTCGCCGAATGGGGAGGAAACTAGATTTATTAAAAAAGAATGAATCTAAAGAGATGCCTGAGGAACCAGGTACACATGAAGCTGTAAGCAACGATTCTTCTATAGTTTTAACTGGACAGTATAAAAAGAAACAAAACTGGAAAATGGGAAGAAGTACATCAGACTCATCATCTCTAAAAAAAGATAGTGATACAGAATCAATACGTAGCGGATCCAGAGATAGGTCACCAAGCCCCTTTAAATCTTTTTTTCATAGAATGGGTTCAACGGGTATGTTAAATAGTTCTAAAACACAATCTTTGAATTCTCCAAACCCACCGAACAGCTACTCTTTATCCAACGGTCCCACCCTTTATAGAAGTTGTTCCACCTCACATCTATCAACATACGTAAAAGCTGATGACCCATCTGACGATATAGATTTACAAAATACTGGAGCCGAAACTAAAAATTCTCCTACAAAACAAAAGAACGCTAATCTCTTGACCGAAGACAATTTTGTTTCTTCATCTACTAAAGCGGTCAGTTGTGATAATATTCCAAATAAATTGGAAGCCCCACAGAACACGGGCACTTGCAAAAAACCAAACTTTCCCTATGCTTTCTTAAGATCTAAATTATCAGTTTTGCCAGAAGAAAATAGCTTGGCTTCACACCGCTCTGTTTCAGTCAGACAAAGCTTTTCTGAAAGGATAGATCGAAAATCTCCTAAATTTCGAAAAGAAAGGTTATACCTGACAAACTCCCGGTCAGAAGAACGATATCAAAGTAGCGATAACATATCCGTCCACGATGAAAGTATACTTATAAATTCAGGTCTGAGAAACTGTAATGACTTTGCGAGAAGTTCTATAAGAAGCATAAACGAAACTGATGTCTACCAAAATAAACATGTTGATGATGTACTAAGGAGATCGTCTATGATATCTCACAAAGCACCAATTGACTATGACCCTATGTTAATTCCTCGAAATAGAAATAGCCTACCAGTGTATGAGTACAGATCTACTCTAGGTTCTGCACATGATCTTAAAGGTGATCTTGCTTCTTCTAATCAAAGCATTCATCAAGAAGTACTTCAAGCACATCGCCTCAGCAGCTATGTCAGTTCTAACGAATCTGGATATGACAGTGATGGGAGGCCAACAGACGAACACAGTAACCATTCACCTCCAGGTTATGGCAACAATATGGGAGGAATATCAATAACCATGAATGGGGAACATAATCTTGGTAATTTTTCACGACAATTAAGCTTAAATCACAAGATAAATGTCAACAAAGTACAAGTACCAATGCGTAGAAGTTCTACTCCGTGTGCTTTATTTCCAATTGAAAAAAAGTCATACTATGAGTACGAAAATGAAAATAGAGATGCCAATCAATATCAAAATAACGATTCAAATCTTATCATGATCGATTATAATGATGGAAAACCACCGCCACTGCCAAAGAAAACAGTTCATAAAAAAACACCATATATTTATAAAACCATCACTTTAGATGAACGTGTTCAAACAAGAAAAATAAAGTTGCTACAGTCACAATTAGTTTCTGTTGATCACTCGTCTACGCCGAATCTCAGTGATAATTCATTGAATGCATCTAAGGAATTGAACAATGTGCAAAGAATTCATGAGACAGATATACTTGGAAGGGGTCCATGCACAAAACGATTTAGAAAAATAAGACTACTGAAATCAAGATTGGATGAAAGTTTGGGTGTTTATTTGGCACAAAATAGAGTGGATTTTGATAAAAGTGGAAATAATTATGAAATCCGTTATATAATTGTTAAACTTGATTTTGATGGTATTGCTCACCGAGATGGACGACTCAGAATAGGTGATGAGATCGTTAACGTAAATGGGAAAGTCTTAAGAGGACTTTCTTCACTCAGAGACGTACAACATATAGTAAATTCTTGCTCTACTGAAACAACAATCGAAGACAGTGGTCTTTTTCAGAGGTATCAAGTTGATCTGGTCATGGCACATGATGAAATATCTCCCATTACTTTAAGTCGCATTATTAATAATAAATCTAATGAACCCAGTTCTGTACACTCCTCTTCAAGTATTCCTCCTGATATTATTGCCCAAACTCAGAAGCCATCACCCCCTAGTCAGATTGTAATTGAAACTCATTTCCCAAGCGCTGATAGTACATTAAATTTACGTAATAGCAACAATACCAGTGGATATGTGAATGATATGCCAGAAAAGAATCAAAAGTGTGAAGTTGGTGTACAGGTCAACAATAGTCTATTGCTTTCTAACCAAAAAAGTGACGACGAAAAATTGTTGGAGCGAAACTGTTATACACAATCCCATTCATCTCTACAAAATATAACTAATATAGAAATTTCAATGAGATCATCGCCTACACCGAGACACGGCACTAATAGCTCATATCGGCCCATATCGTTTCACAGCACTCGTCCTCAACATTTATGTGGAACAACACTGTGTAACGATAATACTACCAACGAAATTAAAGAAAATTCTTCTCATTATATAAAGAACGTTAATAGAACATACCAAAATAGGTCTTATGAAAGTATACCTGAACAACTAAGAAGCACCAGTCGCAGTAGATTCTTTTCTAGAGTTGGATCACAAAGATCTTCGCCTAATTATGGTTCTCACGCATCACGACAGCAGGAATACAGCTATCATGATATACAATCCTCACAAAATACTTTGCATAGAGCAGAATTCTGGAAAGGTCCAGGCCACAAAAGCCTTGGCTTCAGTATCGTTGGAGGCACAGATTCTCCAAAAGGGCAAATGGGTATATTTGTTAAAACAGTCTTTCCAAACGGGCAAGCAGCCGATAAGGGAACTATTTATGAAGGTATTTATAATAATAAAAAAATACAATTATATTCGATTGTACTTATTTCTAATGAAGTTTTATATTACTTTAGGTGACGAAATCTTATCAGTTAACAACGTGGCAACTCGAGGATTAAGCCATGCTGGAGCAATATCACTGTTCAAAAAAGTTAAAGAAGGAAAATTAGAATTGACGCTTTCAAGACGAAGGTATAGTCTTTTAGATACCAAATCATTCACAATCAAATAAAGATGATTCAAATATTTGTATGTTTTCAGAGCTCCTAGGTCAAGATCTGTAGAACCTCTCGGTAACTTTCGCAACGATAGCAAAAGAGATTGATGTTCGAAAAAAATGAAGACCCATTACTGAAATTTATTTGAGTGCAATAACATTTATCATTTATATTGGCCAAAGGCGGAACACATACATATAATACTGCTTATTAAGGTTCTTATTTACTAAAGTACATAGTACTGTACTATATTGAATAGTTTATAAGATGACTTGGTCGGTACGACAATGTATTATTACTGTCTGTTTTTTCTTAAATTGCTAATATATAATTTCATTTATCAGCTTTAGAAAATATGTTATTGACAAATAATATAATGTGCATGCGTTGTATGTAGTATACAGATAGTCAGATGTTGATATTCTATGTGAATTTTAAGCGTTAAATATAAGACTGTACATATATAGATTTATATAAGTCTCAGTTATAAGCAATTAAAAGGTATCACTTTATTATTACACCTATATAATAATATTCCCTTAGTAATGCTAGATCTCGTTGTTTGCTATAAATAATTTAATCATTCGTGTAGGTGCTATAATAAAATAACGTTAACTTTAATTTGACTTTACAAACAACAATATATAAATAGACTGATATTTCAATGTTCGATAATTTTTTGTACCTACATTCGCTACCAAAGCTTAGTCGTTATGTGATTTATATTTAATGCATTTTATATTACATTCTTTTTCGCTATTAATGTCACCTGTCAAGAGATAACAGCGAAAACGTTCCGTCCAATAACGTTATTTTATTCATCATAATTTTATGTTCATTGTAATACATTGGCGGTACATAGTTCATTGATATTAAGAAAATAAAGAAATAAAGAATCTGATGACTCCAAAAATCTTTCAGGACTGAACGGTACACTAAGACTATTTTGACGATGTGTTGTTAAATGTTAATTTATATTTTCTTTAAATACGTTAAAGAAATGCCTGTCGATGCTGCTTCCACGTTCTCAATAAAAATATTTTTTTTAGTACAACATTCTTTTATTTAACAATTTAAATAAATTACAAACTAAATAATAATATAAATATCATTCGATTAAATATCGTATATAAAAGAAGCTAGCGATGGTGAGTTTATTAGAATAAAAATGACTGTGCCTGCGTCAACTGCATTGTATCTGTCAAAAAATGTTTCACTTGATGTCACACAAAATTGCAACGCCCCGTAGTATCCAGTGGTCTGGATTTTTAAGTGTCGGCAGCCATAAAGGAGTGATAAAAGTCAAATCAGTGCGATTGGGTTTTTTGTACACTGGGCACTGAAATATAAAGATTTTTATTACTACGGCGACCGAGAATATGATGCATTTATTTATAACATTCCCTACGAAGTAAGTTACGTATACGTAACTTATGTACACCTTATATATAAAATTCTCAAGTTGAGGTGTTAGACAGAGAACTCCTCTGAAACGGCTGGACCTATTTTGATGAAATTTTGTGAGCATATTGAGTAGGTCTGAGAATCGTCTGACTCTATTTTTTATACCCCTAAGTCATAAGGGTTGTTCACCCTTGAATTTTTATTTAATTTTCGGACATATTTTTTTTTTTTTTATTTTTTTATAATGTGGCATTAAAAAATACATACAACCCAAATATTTTACTTTTTTATCATAAGCCCTATTTTTTTATATGGCAAAACAACGTTTGCCGGGTCAGCTAGCATATTACTATAAAACAAATGTTGTACTGAAATTTTTATAGTTTTGATTAATTTTTGCCAATAACTAGCTGTTGCTTGCCGCTTTGCCGACACATTAAACGCCCTACTAGATGAGCATTCTCATCCCTATAAATTTTAATCCGATTTTTCGAGGCCCCCTTCGCCAGAACTTGACTCCATGGCAGTATCTGGTGTTACCACATGCAATTTACTGAATTAAGTACTTTAAATTTTTGTGTACAGAGCTGTTTCATTGTATACAGTTCCTTTAAACATTTAACATAAACTCTACATGAGTTACCACCACACAAAATTATATTTAAATTATAGCGTAAAACATTTTTGTAATATTTTAAATATATTTTTTTTCAAAGATCATAAATTTTTCTTATTATATAATATTCTGAAAGGCCCATATATTATATACAACATACTCCTTTAAGCCTACCTGATAGAGTTTTGGGTCTTTGGGTGCTGTTGAATTTATCGCATACACATGAACTACAGGAAGCTGCGTGTATAAAACCTTAAGTGTGGACTCGCAAAGTCGCTGGTTACGGCGATCCCAACCCGCACCATCCACAAACAACCCATGAACAAATACTCCCTCCTATAAAAATAATTAAGACGTTTTTTAGGAAACAGAACCAGCTTACAAATATAGACAGTGTAAATCACAATAAAAGCTTAATATAAGAAAATTTAAGTATGTTACAATACTGCGCTTGGTTGCATACCGGTGGAGGAGCTTTTATTTCGTCCAAAAGAGATTTTGTGACGTCATTATGTAAAGAGACCATATCTAGCGCCCAGCCCTTATGAGCTCTTGTCACTTCTTGTCGCATAGCGGTAAGGAAACCTTAGGAAGATATGTGAGATAAAGATATAATTTAAAAATTATCATAATATACATGTTATTTTGATTAACCTTGCGGATTAAAGAAACCCGTCATCCAAAAGGAAAATGGCCTCGCCTGAAAGCACCATACTGAAAACTGTATGTTCCTCTCCAAAAACTCCGTAAACCAAAAGCCCAGAGTTGATGAAGACCATGAACCCCTCTGCCAAATGGTGGGTACTTTCGCATCATATATATTGTCCAATGAATCTCGTAGAGCCTTTGTAAGAAACAATATTTCAGTTTTTTTTTTTGAATTCTTGTTATTTTATTAGCAGCAGTAAAGATATTCATTTAGCATATTTATCATTACAAATACCTCATTCATTATAATAGTTCCGTCTATAGCCAGCAGTAAATCCTTCAGTGTTGTCCGCACTAATGAGATAACTTTCTGCATTCTATCGATTTCTTGTCGTAAGAATATTACCATTGAATTTAAAATACCGTAAAGCCGAAGCCTGTAACAGTATTATTTATAATAATGACTTAGCCGCAAAACGAATTGAATGTAAATTAAACATATATTGCAATATTTATGTCAGCTGTTAATGTACTAATTTAAATACCTTTCTCTTACTTCATGGGGATCGAAATTAGGCGGGACTTTCTCTAACATTTCTTTACTTTGTCGATACACTGACGCTTCTCGAGTCTCTCCACCTCCCGAACTAGATTCCTTCGGCTGGATAGACAGTATGGTGTCCAACAATTCCTGAGTCACATTTCGTTGATATCTGAAATGGTTTTTAAAAACAATATGTAATATTTTTTTATTACTGTAAAAATTGGGCATTATTCAATGAATCTCTGAAATATTTATTATATTTTAAACTCCTCAACAATTTTTTCTTCTAGAATTGTCACTGGATCTATTATGAAACTTACGTAATATCAGCATTTGTATGCAAACCATAGGCTTGAGGCGGATCGATTGTTTTCATTTTATCAATCTCTTCAATATATTCGGGTATATTTTTAAATTTCATAATTCCGTAATTCTTATAAAATTGGAAATCTTCCGAAAACAATTGTTCCGTAAACCACACTTTGCAAAACGTCAACAATAGACGATTATCATAATCATCAGTGACACGCCCACCGTACTGAACAGCGGATACCATATATCTGAAACATTTTTACTATTATAATTAAATCTGATTCTCACTTTTTTCCATAAAAATATTAGGTACTACTTTAATTATTTGCTGTTATATTACATTTCGATCTACGTTACCTACCGGACAGTTGTCCAACTGACATTCTGACCAGGTTCCAAAATATCCAGATGATTTTGGATAAACATGCACGACGCCAGCCAATCCGCAGAATTAAATTCATAAGGAATGTTCCATCCAAGCGGACCAAACTTCCTACGCTCCTGAACAACAGTATGTAAGAAGGAAATGGTGTAAATAAGTGGCAAATAAAATGGACTATCACTATAATCCAAAAAGTCTTGGCTCATGGAATCGTATGTTCTCATCAATCCTGCTTTGATACCTATAAATGTAATGTTATTTCATTTAAAAATATCTTAAAATCACACTTAATATCGATGTCACTTCAATAAAATGTATGTATAGAAACAAACCCGAAGGTGGTTCACAGGTATACTTTATAGACATTTGAAGTAAAGTTATCGGAAACTTAATGTGAACTTCAGTGGTTATCCAAAGCCTAAAAATTTTTTTCTATTAATAAACCACTTATTTTAATCATCAAAAAACTTTAAGGAAATAAAGAAAACAATAAACCTGAATGTTTCATGAATCTTATCTGGATCTTTTTCTAATTCACCAAACTGCTCCATAATTTCTACCATGTACTCCAACCCTAAATGGCAATTTTGCAGCAAAACCCATAATCCCTGTCATAAAACACATTTTTGTATATAAAAATTACTAAGATAAAAATTACTAAGATAAAACAAAAATTCTAATATTTAATTAAATTAAATCATTTACATCAAAGTGTCACTGATATTTTTTTAAATATCTGTTTTCATTTACTAAAACATAAATAGATACTTCAATTTATTTATTGGTTTAAATATCAAGAGTTCATCTTATTATATATCATCCTGCATCAAAATGGAAAATCACAAATAGATATACTTATACCTCAACGAGAGCTCGATCAATAAGTTTTCTTGCGTGAACTTCTTGACCCTGACCCATAGAAATAGATGAACATAAGCACTCAAGACGCTTTGCTGTCGTTTCGATTGACGGGGTCGGGTCTGAACCCATTGCCAAAAATCCAATTAGCGGTACCAATGGTCGCGATTCTAACACCATTTGCTGTTTGCAAATTTATATATATTAAATAAATTTTAAGTCAAATAAATGAGATATGTAAATAATAAGATATTCATATTATAATCCATAATTTACATAGTCTTGTAGAACATACCTCGTAATTTACGATAACAGCTTCAGAGAATTTTGCACCCATCGAATAAATAACATACTTTCTGGAGAATAAAAAGTACTTTCAAACTAGAATCACACTACAAAATATAATTAATAGCTCCATTAATAATCTTACAAGCTTTGTGCTAATGTCCTATCAGGACACCATGCACGAACTACTAAAAGTTTTCTGAAAACATCTACTGTATGGTATCCATCAGGCAAAGGTTCATCTTCAGGTGCTTCTTTATCAAACCTTGAGTAAAAAAACAAGAAAAATTATTTATTTATTAATATATTATGACTAAAATAAACTTTTAGAGAAAAAAAAAAATCATTTACCAAGTCTTCCATCCCTTTTCATTATTTGTGACTTGATCTAGTATATTTGTAAACTGCCTTAAACTAGATAGTTGCACTAGGTTCAACCAAGACATATCAGTCAACCATTTAAAAGGTTTTGGAGGACATGCATTAAGATCCAACGCTGCCCCTCCTAAGCCATTAAATTTTGTTTTAAATACAATATTCCCAAAAAACGATAAATAAGTGGTTATGACATAAAAAAAATAAAACCTTTAATAAACGTCTGGAACTCATCATAAGACACGTATTCCTTCTGAAGGTCGATTTTCAGCGTTAACAGTAAAGTAAATAAGTACTTATGTTTCTCGTAAAATCCTCGGCTTATGTACTTCCAAACGTCGTAAGTCTAGTAAGAGATTATTTTAACATCAACGTCGGTTAAAAAAAGCATAAACATTTCAAATTAATGTACGCAAACGTATACATTATGCTGCAAACAATACATATACGTATATTCGTGTACAAAAAGTAAAATTATGTTAAATTATTCAACTTACCAAATACTCAATAATGAAGGCAATTCGTTTAAAAGTAATAGGACTTGGGGGCGACCTTTCCATGGAAATGTCAAAACGTTCCAAGAACTGAGCCAATGAGGTCTGGTACATATTGCACACTAATGACATGTTACATATCAGGAAGTAGAGCACCGACCCACGTGTGGCAACCGGTCTGAACTCTTCGCGGGCGAGGTTGATCTTAGCTTCAGTTTCTTTTGCTCCGTCGAGTTTTTCTTTAACCTGTTTTATAGCAAATAAAAATCACCTTCAATTAAATTGTTTAACAAAAGAGAATAAAGAAAAAAAAAATAACAAAAGCAATAATATTTTGTCTACATAGTTATGTACACACAGTTGTGTGTATTAGTTCTACTTAGAAGTTCTGAATAATAGTTTTGAATTTCCTGAATTGATCTTTTGTAAGCAATGTTAAGCAAAATAATAATGTCTAATTCTTAAATTACCTCAGTTGCTGTGGCCTTCGTTATATTCAATACTTGTATTAGTGAGACATCCTCTACTAAAGATCCCTGAATTGTGGTTAACTTATGAAGCAAATTTTCTTCCAACTCCTGCATTTTACGACGATTAGCAGTTACATCCATGATCAACTGCGTTCTTTCGGCTTCCATTTCTGCTTTTTCAGTAAGTATAACCCGTCCCAAAAGCTGATCTTCAAGACCTTTTTACGGTGAGATAATATTTGGCTTAGTATTTTTATAAAGTATTCAATAGTTTAAAATAAACATGCGAGCTGTCTTTCGTAAATTCTATATATGTGTTTTTACTATAAAACAAAATTATATTTGAATGATTTATTAGTACCTTGCATTGTGACTGTAAAATCAATGATAGATGTTCGAGCCGATATTTCTGGAGTATAAGCGGGGTTCGGAAGTTTAGTTGTGATGTAGATTTTGTGACCTGCTGTAACGTCTATTTCTTTATCGCCCAATTTTACCTATAATATTAATAAACAAAAAAGAATAAGTAGTGAATGAAAAGATATTAATAAAAATCAAAAAAAATCAAAAAGAAAAATGAAAAAATACATAAACTGTGATATTGGTGTGGGGGCAGTCTTAATGCCAAATGGCAAACATTCCAGACAACCTAATTTGAGAAAATGACTATGTATAATTTTGGTGATAATGGAATTTTAACAAATGTAATATAATGTTGTTGTAACTTTTTAGTTTAAATGAATCGTGTCTTTAATTATGCATTTAAAAAACTTCATTGACATACATGAACAGTACATTTGACTTAATTTATGTTATTATTAATGAAGATTACTTTGAATGAAGAGCCTATTTTTATATAATTCTTTTCCAGAATATTGTCCAAAGCCGGATCTAATTCTTCAGCCACATCCTCAATCAGCATGGGTCTACCCAACGAAACGCAATCTTCAACGTGATTACTAAAATAAAAAGAGCTAATAAGTACTACATCTTCCATGACGTTATAGGAAAACATATTCCTACTTACCGGAAATATTTATGGTTAAGAGTTGTGACAATCAAGTCATTGAATTTTTCCATGTTCTTAATCCATATTTTCCCTTGAGTTTGAGGATCTATGAGTAACGGAAAACGGGATGCCTTCGTCACAATAATACCATTCTGTACGGATAATTCATCCGATGGTAGACCACAAAGATTCCAATCTCCTATCTACATAAATTTAAAATAAAATGTAATATATATACATATCTATATTAGAATATACTTCTGTTAGGTGATATAAATAATGAAGTCGAATTAAACATACTGTAGCAGCATCAGTGAGTTGATCAACAATACTCAAATTCATTGATACAGGAATTTTCCTTTTTAATAATTCATGCAACCAATTCTGTATCAATAGCACTCGAAATTCTTGGTTAAACGGTCCAGTATATGACAAAAATCTATAAATAATAATAATAATAAGTCAATATAAGCCGTTTTATATTTTGAAATACCATTGCCTAGGAAAAGAGTTTCAAATAACCCAGTTAACAGCAAGATATCCCCAACCAGTCTTTCAATTTCAGACTTAAAGAGAGCAGACTGCTCAGTCCATCTTATTCTCTCTCCACTTAGTCCATTTATGAGAGCTGTAGCTGCGTCCATTTTCTGTTGACACTTAGCAGCATCATCTAAAACTGCTTGTTTAAGAGACATTGCTTCCTCAAACTGACGTTGGACTTCAGCCAGCTCGCGCTAGGAAACAAAAATTCAACGTTATTTTACAAAAAAAAAAAATTACTTGTCGACCAGTAAGTTATAAATTGTCTAGTCTTTAGTCAAACCTCTTTGGCTTCTAAGAGAGCTTCTGCAGCCTCCAATTCTCGTTTTGCAGCTTGATATTTGCTTTGCATCACAGCTAAGTTTGCTTTTAAAGGCAAAACGTCTTTGTTCACTCCGTAAAACTGAGCCATTGCTATAGTCCAAGAAATTAAGCCAGCCACATTGCCGCAGGCTATTTTAGCTGCTTCAAAAGTGTACTGTCTGAAGTTCATTAGATTATTTAAGTAAAAAAGTAAAATTCTTTAATAATAAATACTTGATAAATATAATATTCAAAACATTTACGGGAAATTGAAATATGGTTGCAATAAATCCACCATTTCTGCGTTAATTTCATCCCTAGGATAAAACTTCAAGTTATTTAAAAATCTTGCGTCTGCCATAACCTTAACATGATAGGATCAATTACATTAGTTATTCAATCAAATATAAAAGTATAACACATAACATTAATACATTTTCTCTTACCTTCAAAGATTCAGCCCAAGACGCTAACAAGAATTGTTTTTCTGGGTCAGGTTTAATTGGATCAATTTTCTTTCTAAATAATAGGATTACAGCATCCATAATAAGAGTAATCAGATATGGTGGTTTTCCCAATTTACGGACCGTGGCAATGTCAGCAGCGTTAATTGTCTGAAAGACGTGAAATTATCTACATTACACTAAATCCAAAAGACCAGATTATAGACTTATCACTAAAAAAATTTCATCTAATAACAGTATTTGATGATTTAACAAGTACTAGCTTTCCGCCCGCAGCTTCGCCCGCATGGAGTTCGGTTATATCGCGTTTGAAAGAGAACCTTTCAAAAGTCTGGGATAAAAATTATCCTATGTTCTTTCTCAAGGACAACTCTATCTCTGCACCAAATTTCATTAAAATCAGTTCAGTGGTTTAGGCGTGAAAGCGTAACAGACAGACAGACAGACAGAGTTACTTTCGCATTTATAATATTAAGTAGGGATTATATAATAACTAGTAAAGCTGCTTCAGCTGCATCTAGTGCTGGTTTTGCTGCTGCTAGTTTTTCTTCTGCGACTGCTGTTTCTGCCGCAATAACACTGACGAGTTTCACAGCTCTGTCTTTCACAGCCAGAACCTCAGCCTTCACAACTTCCGCAGCAGCTGCTGATTCAGCTACTGCAGCTAATACCTATTTGAATGTAAAAAGTGAATTTTAATAGAAGTATTAAGATTAAAACTTTTGATTCACAGATGAACAATATTCCACAATTTAAGAATGTGAAGAGCAAAACGTTTTAGTCAAATGAAGTAATGACAATAAATGGTGTGAAATTCGAATTTTAATCAATCCGATTAATAAATATATCATTCGGGTAAGAAAACGTATTTAGAAATAGCACACATACTTAGAAAAAATAACACAAAGTAGTGGCGAGAGAATCCTATAAGAGTTTTAATTACTTTACGTCTTCTTAGACAGTAGAGAGGTCTGTGCTTTGTTTATCAATTCCAAACACAACATATTTCGATTGCTGCCCTAGTAATGATTTAAACAAATACATTTAATATATTATTGACTTTATTCACTTTTCTATGTGAAAATATATATAAACATAATATTCAGATGAAATTAATTTTATCTAACCTCTTCTGCTTTGGCAGTTGCAACTTTGATTTCCATTTCCTTGACTTCGAGTTCTTTCTTTAAAACGTCAACACTTTCAGCTGCTTCAACAAGTTTATCCAATCCCGTTGTCATTCTGTAAAATTATGTTCGCAAAATAAAAATCCTAAATAGAAGAACTTAACTACATATACGAGTATGTTCAAAAAAGTTTTTAAATTATTTTGTGGCAGCTCCTATGAAAGGACATACTATAAAGGAACAGCAAAAATATTGTAAATATTTTTAGTATTAGAAAATTTTCTAATTAGTAATAAACAACTTATAAATAAGAACTTAAAAATATGTAAAATACATATTTATAAGTTGCTATATAATATATTATCCAAAGTAAATTAAAAAAACCAATAAAACCTTCTTGCTAATTCAGCAATATGTAAGTGCTTCGCCTTGTATAACACTTTATAGCCTTCAAAAACGATAAGTAAGATTTAGGAGTGACATGCGTCTGTCTCCTAAATCTCTCGTAGTAAATAGCACAAGTTTCGGCGACATTGTCTTGAACACTTCCCATTATTTCAATTAATTGTGTTTTTGTCTCAGGTGAACATACCACCTTAAAATAAAATAAATTATAGGCTAATTTTTTAATGAGCGATCCGAAACCTTATAAATGCTATATGAAATAATATCCTCATTGAGGACTACTCGTTATTTCGTTATAAACGTACTTGAAATTCTGCAAGAAAATGATGAGCCACTTCTATCAAAGCCTCTCGCGGCCATTTTTGGAACCAATCCATAGTTGATCCGGATATCAAACCGGGAAACTTTAAAGCCCTACTTCGGAATTTCTCACCCACCTGCACATTTTAATATAAATAATATTATATGGGTAAAAAATGATCCCCAAATCGAATGAATCCTTAATGTTTTTTACCGGGGAAAAGCATAATACGACATGCAAATTGGCTCTTGACCGCATAATAAAATACTCATAAAGAACGTCTGGTACCGGAATTCTCTTCGGTGCGTGTTTTTTCATGATTGGCGTTAACTCATTTAATATTTCATCTGTTTCGAATTCATAAATTATAAAAATATATTCACTATTTTTATGTCATTTATAAGAAAATATTATTTTCATTAATAATAATATTACCTAATTCATCTTTGGGAAACAGATTAGCAATTTCTCCTGAACTTAAAATGTTGTTAAGGAACTCCAAGAACTGTTCGTCTTTAATATCATTATCCGTAAATATAAATGATATACCCTGACCCTGCAGTCCCGCTATGCGATACAATATTTTAATATCGTCCATAAAATTATTTACATTGTAAGCCCTAGAAGATAAAATTAGTATCAATAACCACTAGGTCCCTTCGGCGGTAAATACGTAGTAAACAAAGTAATCATTTTGAAATACAGACCTTGTCAGAGTAATTTGATAATAAGAAAAGTTTGCGATAAACGAGGCCAACTTCGTTAAACTTTGTTTTCCAGAGCCCCCTACACCCACGAGTAAAGCATTGCCTCTGCAAAATATAAACCTATAAATATATCCCTTTCTCAAAGTTTTATTGACATCTATTATATTAGCTTACCGAGCTGTATTAATGATACGGGATATAATAAACAAATGCACCATAGCGTCGTGGAAGAATACCAAATCCAGACGAGCACCTCTGATTTGCTCATTAAATGTGTCTTGGAATTGAGCAAGCTTCATCAAAACGAATTCCCATCTGAAATATTTTGATCAGAAAATATAATACATATAATCCTACCGAGATTTACAAATTTATTTTTAAACCAAAAACACTTATAAATAAAATTTCCGATCCAGCTGCCTTTAAGTAATAATAAAATATTTAGCACTTGAAATTTCAAGTCAATAATAAGTTGAAACTCACGAAGGCAATTCCTCGTAAATTTTAGGAGCGTCAGTACTAAAATCTTCTTCATCTTCATCGCCAGTAGGGTCAATGGGCTCACGCAAGAAATTAACGAAGTAGGTTTCTTCATCGGACATCTCGTTCACTATATCTGGTAACTCTTGAATAGCTGTCTTCCAAAAGTTCGCAGTAAACCAGTCCTTGTCTTCAAAGGTCGTGAACCTAAAATAGGGCAATTGACACGGAAATAGTTTAAAATACGGCATATATTGAAAGATAAAACATACAAAATATTATTAATAGATATAAAAAATTATAACCTATCAGATATTACTCTCAGACATTCGTGAAACCATAATTTGAGGGCTGTTTTGATAGACTGCAATTCTTCCCGTTTGATCATAAGTATTCCTTCCCAAATACGAGACAAATCTCGTAAGTTGAATACATAATGAAACTTTGCTGGCGTTGGGAGCATTTTTACCTGAAAAAAATATCATTTCATGAATTATTTTATTTCTAACGGCTTTGATGTAAAATTGATGATAAAAAATCGAAAAATAAAAATAAAGAAAGTAAAACTAATTTTTTTGTATGATTAACATTTAACGTTTCACGTACTTTGGTCTGTTGCCATATAATCCTAGTTACAGGAACCAATCGGGGCATAAACTCTATTATTTTCTTGTCAAACCTTGTTTTACAAAAGTAACCAGAGCTTATGGTTTCTAAAATATCAATACAATAACATTAATCCTAAATCATAATTGTATTCTAAAACCGACCAAAAAAAAACTTACCAAATATTTTATCCATAGAAACGTTGCTGGGCAAAGTGCAATTAAAAATATTAAATTGACGTTTTAACCTCGGTGGAATATCATTTCGACCACCACCTGTATATATAAAAATGTGAATTATCTATTCTCATGGTATTAATTACTAACAATGACTTACCCGGATGTATCATAGCTCCAAACATTTGAATATCAGCAATGATGAAGAAATCACCAGGCTTATCTAACGAATAGAACCCGCCTTGTTCCATCATTTGACGGACTATTTCGTTGGTAACCTACAGATGAAATTATATAAACATTTAGATTATATAAATAAATAAGTTGTAATATGCGATGTCGTTTTCATACCTGATCGCCCCATTCATTAACTACTGGCATATTGATATCATCTACGAAAACTGTCATAGCTCTTCCACTCGGCGGGCCATATGTCATACCAACTCGTTTTTCAACGTAGGACTCGATAATTCTCTGCAAGTTAAAATATTACTTAATAATATCAAAGCAGTAATTAAAGATATTTTTTACACAAACTTACCTGAAACATATTCGGAGTTGTTGCAGATGAAAAGTTAATCATCTTGAAAAGTTTAACTTCGTTATCGTATTTTGCCATATAGCTTTTCAGCATAACAGTTTTAGCAGTTCCCTGTTCTCCGATCAACAACACAGCTTTATTTTGTTTCGCTATTGTATCAATTAAAAAGGAAATGCACACGTTATCGATATTTGGGACCAAAATTGAAGCGTACTCAGGTATGCTGTCAGATGGATAAATATAATCTTCAACGTTTTCGGACCTAAAATTTTGCAGGAATTACGTATTTGTTATCATTATGGTGTAAGCGATTTTGTAACTTACCAGTGCTGCCAAACTCCGTATTCATTAACCATGTAATCGAAGGGCATAACCCATTCTTTGGAACGGGCGCCTGGCCAATCCATGCGGACTGGTAGTTTGGTCATGAACTCAGCCATACGGAAACGACCGTCTAACTCTAACACAGTACCCAGGGACCACATCATAGCGAAAATAAAAAGACGCTCCAAGTGTCGGTCTGTGTGTAACTCTGAAAAAAAAGAAATAAACAAATTTTATAGAGTTAAGATGATAAATAAACCCTTACAAAATTAAATTTTATGTTAGAAATAAAAAATACATATATTAATATGTCAAAAGTATAAAATGTGGTATATTCACAACTACTATTACTATTCGAAAACTAACATGTTTATGGATCTAATTACTAATTTGTATTTTTAAATATTTATATTTTTTCTGATACCTCCTCGACTTTCTATGGCTAGGTCGATGGTAGTGCAATTAAAGCGTGGGCATAAAATTTTAAATTAACTCTCCGTTACTTACATACCCGAACATAAAATTTTGTTTTACTTTTATGTATGGAAACTATTATTTACATGCTATTTATAGTACTTACTTCCCCCAGGTATTTCAATTTGCAGTAAGCCCACCAACACGTCAATGCATTGTCTAGTAAGAAAAATAACAATTATTTTTTTTTACTCGCGATTTTTATGTGTAACACGAATATATACTTTTAAAACCTGATATAAATAGCTTCCAGGAGCTTCATTTTGACTGGTAGCTTATGTTGCAGAAATGAATGAACTTCGTCATACACTTTGTTGAAGGCCACTCTGAATACGTCTGCCTCTTTTTGAGATCTCTTTTTAAGCCATCCCTGAAATCAATTTATAAGAAATAGAACACACAACCATATATTATGTATAGTTGAAAAAAAGCAATTAATTAACTTACTTCCAATATAGGTTGCCATTTCAGTACAGATGATGATAAAAACACCATCCCCATACGACTTACAGTAGCCGGTGACGCATTATCTACATTATCCGGCTCAAACACAAGTTTGCTATTTTGAGCCATCGATATACGATCACCGTTAGCTAACGTTAATGTTTTGTTATCGTCTAACACAGAGTTCAAATTTTCAATCCACACTGCGTCCACTGGACCATCTTTAAAAGATTTTATTAGTATGAACATTGTTATAACAATGAGTATTAGAAATTTATGCGAAGAGTATCTTTCAAAGTATTAGAAATCACAATTACCTAATACTATCCAAGTCGTATCTGATTTTTTAACTTTCAAAGCTCGTCTCCATAATGTAGAAAATATACCATCCGTCCAGTCATTGGTCGCTACGTCCAGTCGACCAAACATTTGAGGTGCCGTAATTGCCTACATTAATATTGAACGATATATCTCTTATTCACAATTTTTGTTCAAAACGTTATATTATATGGAGATCTAAGATTTTCGCGAGTACTCATTTAAATGAAACTAATATTTTCGGATTTTATTTGATCACGGGCAGACGAGATGTGATCACGTTTGCTGAAAAGTAGCCGAAACGTCGGGAGTATGTAGTTTATAGTAAAAAATAAAAACGCGAAGTAAAATCCGAAAATATTAGTTTCATTTAAATCATATTATATTAATGGAGATAAGAGCCAGGTTTAAATTGTAAATACAAAAGAAAAATATGAATAGAAAATAGGGTCACCTTTGGATTCATTCTCATTTCTCTATGCGGCTTTCCAACTTCCGTAAGAGCGGCCATCAATGAATGAATGCATGTCGTTTTCCCAGACCCCGTCGGACCCATTGTCATTAAACCGTGACGCACCAACGAAGTCTCGTAAAGCTGAATTATCTTTAAATTCCATTCTGGATGATTAACTAAACCTGTTCGATCTGTTATTATAGCGATGGCGCGTTGCATTTCTCTGTAACAATTATATTATGGTAATATAATGTATATCCTAACATAGTTAATAAATAAATAAATGTATACAATACCTTTGTGATGTCTGACTTATTTTAATTCCAGGGAACAAATCCTCAATTAAGGATATGAATAAGGGTTCATCTTCATCCACTAGTTTTGATACATTCATCTCCCTTAAAGTGTGAGCTATATTAGTACTTCTCAAAATAAAATGAAAGCTTTTTTTTCAACTCTCGTAGTTTAAATTTAAGACCTACTTTAGTACTCTCATCATAATATTTTCTTCCGTACTCTCTGGATTGGCTCGCTTTTGTGCACCCATTGTTCTTAAAACTGACAAAATGTTTCGTAACCCGAAATCGTAGTGCACTTGTTTTGAGAGCTGCTCTTCGCAAAGTTTGTATAACGTAAAGAATTTTCTTGCTAAAAGTTGGAATATTACAAATTTTACTTGTGCAAAGATTTGTGATAAACTGTATACTAATGGTATTATATTACCTAATAAAATATTTTCTTTAAAGCCACAGCTGGCTAATTTCACTCGTATAATGATCTGTCTATCCGGTACCATCATGGCTACTGAACGGAATTGTATCTTAAGGTTTTCAGGTAACTCCTGTCTTCCAGCGTAACCCGGATTCATAGTAATAATGAAGGCAAATTCCGGATTTAAGCTCACTGTATCACCGTCACTATAAAAGAGATAATAAAGTGGCGATTAGCTGAAGTCCTGATTATATAAATTCATATAATCCTTCTATATATTCGTATGTCATTATCTTGAATATATACCTAAAAATAAAGAATTCCTTCTTTTCTCTGCGAGCAGTTAAGCAAATATAAATTTGCTGTGCGGCTACCGAAAGAACGGGCAGTTCGATTCTGTTGAATTCATCAAAACATCCCCAAGTACCAGACTGTGCTAATCCTTTATATATACGTCCCAAGCCTCGAAAATAAAAATTATTTATTATTACATTGCTAAACTAAAATATCCAAAATTTCACATTCATTTAGAAATAATCTAAATTTACAACATGTTATATTTGACAGAAACCAAAGAAATTAAGAAATATTGCAATAAAAACCTCTGAAGTCCATTTGATCAGAGCAGTTGAATACAATAACAAGTTTTCCGAGTGTTCGGCCCATGTCTTTAGTGGTCTCAGTTTTCCCCGTACCAGCGGGTCCTGCGGGCGCTCCGCCCATACTCATACCAATAGCTTGGGATAGCGTTATATAACAACGATCAGTCAATGGCGTGATCACTAAACGTTCCGTGATACCTAGATACTCGTCCTGAAAACAAAATAATAAAGATATATAAGCAGAGAGATATATCAACTATATAGTTCTATATACAAATAAAAATTAAGGCGATTAAAATTTAGACCTGATAAATGAAGTCAACGTCTGTTATTGATACAATACATTCATCAGTGTCCTCGAAATAATAAAATCGAGCTTGTTTTTGCCATTCAAAATCCGTCGGCGTTTTTATTCTCAGTTTCACCAAATCGTCAAATATATCTCTGTAAAATTAAAAGTTGTTTTAGTAACTAAAAAATGTAATTGGTCATTCTTTTATTATAATAATTTTAACCTCTGGTGAACGTGTATAGTAATCATAGTTTCAACTCTTGTTCTATCGAGTGGCACTAAATCCTTAACAGTTTGATCGATTAATCCGTTTAATAAATCTAAATTCTTTTGATTCGTTAGCCTCATGATATATCTATCAACTCTAGCCTTCTTTAGAGCGTACTCCGCGTCACTTGTCCACAATATTTGCATTCCTAACAAACTTGCCTATAAAATAAGGTTTTTTATATCTGGATTCTAAATAATATAAGCAAAATTATTAAGATTATTAAAATTAATTTAGAACATCTCATAAAAAAGTATTTCATTTAAAAAATATTTAAATTTACTCCAGCACCTGCCCAGGGAAATTCCAAAATCCTGATAGAAACTCAAATTCAGGATCTCCAGTCATTGCTTGAGCTATATTAGCTATCATGTTTCGCACCGTATCTTTCATTGTATCCAGCAAAGTATTAAGCCATATCTATATTTATAACAGATAATCATATTTTATAAGTTTTTTTTCTAGCTCATCATAGTCTAATATATAAACAATATACCTCGACGCCTCCGAGACAATTAACTGGTCGGTCTAGCGGAATGGTTTCACCGTTGTCAGAGTTCATGTTTATTATACGATCCTTATCATCAAAGTCTACCGTATACATTGCATCAAATATACTTGGTAAATGTGGCTAAAAAATGTTGATTATTGTGTTACTCTGCTCTTAGAAAATTTATATGAAATACGAAAGCTTTTACTTTTAAATAAGGCTTTGTTTTTATCATGCTAGTTTCGAAATACCTGAATAGATTGCGGATTTGATGCTTGACCCAGAATTTCCAGTAGAACTGGATCGGAAACAAAGAAAAATCTCGGGAAGATTAATCGCTTGGTCTCCAAATACCCAGTAAGCGACTTCTGACATGCCTCTAATTGTTCAATTAGATGCGGAAGTAATTGTTTCAAAGTATCGTCAGATACGCAAGTTTCCACACAATTTACAATATCACGAGCACGATACATTATTTTCACGTATGTCTTGTCAATTGTCTAGAAAAAAATAATATTATAATTAAAATATTAACACAAGTAATATTTTTTTTATTTGGGACAATTATCTTAATATGTATAAATAATTAAAAAGTATAAATTATACAAATAATGAGATCTACGACATTCGCGAGTAATTATTTAAATGAAGCTCATATTATTCGGCTTACTACGCTTATTTATTATTGTAATTCACATCTCGTCTTGCCCGTGATAACTGTTGCTGATAAGTAACCGAAATGTCGAGAGTAGGTAGTTTTAAAATAATAAATGTTCGTTGTAATCCGAATAATATTAGTTTCATTTAAATTATAAATATGCCAAACACAATTTATTAATGACTAATGATTTTAATGATTGTGATTAGTTTCAATGTTACTGAAAAATTAGTTATTTAGTAAAGAAAAATCAAAGTTTAAAGGTTGTTTATGTGAGAACACTACAACAACCACAAGAAACAAAAAATAATAGTGGTATAGAGTCTACCTTAATAATTTTTTCTTAGTCAATTAGCTATATAACTTATCTAAAGGCAAAATGGCACCGAAACCAAATAATAGGGGAGATATTATTAGCTATTTTGGTTTAGTTTGTTTTTTGATTAGCATAACCGGCATACCACATCAAAATTTGCCCAGAATTTTATAATACACTATACTAATTATTCTAAACAAATCTTATTTAAACTAACAGCAAAACGCTTAGCCTCCGCTGGCAATTGCTTAGCAATGTCCCCACCGACGAAAACGGCCTCTAAATACATCCACAAGTTCTGTACTTGCAACCACTTCTCCAATATCTCCGTCGTACCAACCAGTTTGTTGATCCATAACAAAATATCTCGCTTAAATGGAGCATTGTACCTAATGAAATAATTGATTATAAAGAAAAAATATACATTTTATTTGCTAAAAAATTACTACTTAACGAAATATTAAATCATTATTGATCCTAATTTAACAATTTTTTTAAGATATATCTTGAGTCTTAATTCTAAATATTATTATTATTAAATCGACAACTTTTTACAATACACCAAACTTCCTTTTTATTCCCATGTTACACATAACCGAAAAGTACATATCTTAATCATTTTATATACATATATTTATTTTTTTTTTAAAACAAAATACACAAAAATTAAAGACAATAAAAAACTTTAAACAATATGTACCTATTTGACGCTAAAGAGTTCAAAACCATCAAAGAATCTTCAAGCAAAGTTATAATATCGAGAGTCTCCTGAGGTTTGATAAGTAGTTCTCCTCTATTCTTAAATGGAGCGAAAGTAAGATCCACTACAGCCCAATCTGCTATAACTTGTTTTAATTTAGCTTCGATATCTTTTTCTTTGACGGCACTTATACATATATCCTGAAATATTTTAATTATAGCAAAAAAGGTCAGAAAATCTGAAAAAAAATACGTTAAAAACTGTTAATTTATATTTTTTATGATCTTACCTCAACATCCTCTTTGTATTTCAATAAAGGAGCTTCCATTACATCAGCGAGAAGGAACGATGGAGATTCCACATCCAAAACACAATCTAAAAAAACCACAGACATTATACTTTCAACAGAGTAACATTATCATTAAAATATATATTGGACTTACTCATGAGATTCTCTAATCTCTTCCAATGTCGGTCTTTCATAGATTTATCAGCCATAAGTTCAAGTAGAGGACAAGTTTGATTAAAGTCATCGATTTTATTTTTCAAGTCAATAAATGCTGGCCAATCTTTCATACCTCGAGGTAATTTTCGACATCTGAAATATTTTTATATATGTATATTTAGGACTTTAAATTACAATTTACATGTTGATTGATATTTGAATGATTTCAATAAAAATAACAAATTAAAGATAATTATTACTTATAATTGAACATTGCATTTCAAACCAAATAAACTAATAATTTAATTACCTTAAATCAAATTCAGCCAGTTGTGAAACAATTTGTTCAATGTCAATTGAAACCCATGGCGTTTCAAAGTAACCGTCTATAGAGTTCATTACGGCGAGGTAAAGACTATATCTGCAATTGAAAAATTTAGTAATAAGTAATTCGTCTTCTTCTGATAATTATGTCCATAAAAAAAAACCATTTCTTACAGTTTACTTAGCAGATTGAATTCTTTCTTTTTCTGATGAAGTATAGGGTAGTCTTTGACTTCCATCCCAAACAATTTTTCACCATTGGCGTACATTTCAAATCTTCTCCATAATTCATCAAACCGCGATTGGAACATAATCACTCTGAAACAAAAATAATATGATAAATCTTATTTCTTACTTAGTATTAGTCTTTTAAAAAATAGTTTCATTATAAAAACACAAATCCTAAGGACTATATGTTGTGTTAAGTTACTACTGTTTTCTATAATTGGAAGAGTTGTCTACAGCCCGTGGTGAAGTCATTTATACTGTAAAAGTACAAATATATTAAAAACTTATATTAAAACCTGTCACTCGCTTCTCTTGCTGATAGACCTGGAGTCATTGGACCAAACGCATCGTAATCAGCATCAAACTTAAGTACGTCGATGTTAAATTGTGTTACACCTTCGTTCAATTCTGTTTGCAATGGGCCTTGCATATCTACTATTCTCTGTTGCACTTGTTGAGACTAAAATACGATTCACAATGTAATCCAAAAACTTTATTTAGTATTCAAAACTACTTTTATTTTTTTATTGGCATATTTATACTTACAGTTAGTAGCATATTTTGGAAAGCATAGCGCAAACCATAAACCATATCAGCGTCGTCTTTCGGAATATCTATATTAAACTGACTGAATGTAGCATAACTCTCTTCAATCAAATCTAGCTCTATATCCATTCTGTAAGAAAAATCTCAGTTTTGAAAGAAATATTTTATTATGTAACAGTGAGATGTAAAGTTTACGCCTGAAGTCAATGAGCCATTAATATTTCACAAAAAAAAAACTATATTCCTTAAATTATCTGGCATGTATTGTTTAAATATAAAGTCTAAAGACGATTATTAATTTATGTATACTCTATTTACTCTATAATGATATTTAATTATTTAGTGTCTGTATTTATTGGAATTAAATTTAATTATTCACGGATTATTACTAAACATATTATATTTTTATTTATATCTTGGTCTTAGATGCTCATAAGTCGATAAGTATTTTTTTTACCCTATGAACTCTTCTCTTATCAATTCCAAACATATCATGGCGACGCGGACATCGTCCAAATCTTTTATCTTCTTACTCATGGCCTTCATGCGGTCGTTTATAAATTGCATCATCTTGAGAACTCTTTCTTTATAAGCCTGACTTAATAATTTACCCAAAATACGTTTCCATTCTATGGATTCAATATGCAAAGCCAATTTAATTTTTTCTAAAAAAAAAAATGTAAGGTAATAAGAAATTGACAAAACATACATGCAAATTTGAAATTTTCCAATAAATTAATATGAAAAAAAAAAGTATACCCATGTCTATTTGAATAGAACCAATAATATGTCTTTCTGGGAGATGAACCACTTCTTCCGTTTGATTTTCGTATTTTTTAAACATATCTCTGATTATGACGTTAAGAGGATTTGTGTCGACAAAATCCTGAACTTGTTTAACTCTGTCTTCGGCCCACAAATGTGAAAATCGACCATAACCCTGTTTGAATACACATATAAACAGAGACAATATAACTTAGAGATAACTTTCCCTAACATAACCAATTAATACCAGAGGATACTCTGCCATAAAACGTAATAATTGGTAATTTATTACGATATAATTCAAGCAATATATATTAAGTAGATGGCTTTTATTAAAATATAAGATTGTAAGAGTACAATCTACACTTTTTTTATTTTCCATTTTAATAACCATTCTGTATTATTCATTACATTTACTTTGAATCGGATCATGTCAACTTTAGTATCTATTACTGGGAATAACTTTTATTTGTAATATAATCCCAAATTAACTTAATAACACATATTATGATGGAGATCATTACTATCTATCATTGATAACTAAAAATATAATAGATATATTGTAAAATATCTAATTCGTATTTGATACAAATATTAATACAAACTATGTAATATAAGGGAGTGTGTACTAAAACACATGATTACTAACAGTCAAGAGTTTTTCTATATCCGGTTTAAATTTGTACATCATGCCTTGCAGGGCCATGACTGCACGAACTATGTCCTTATGTTCAGAAACCATTCGGAAGTAACTTCTGATACCAATTAAAGTTGAGCCCGATCTGGATGTAGCTGTAAATAAAAAACAATTAAGAATTATAAGATGAATATTTTAATGAAAATCGCTTTCTTTTCGTATATTTTATCACCAAGATGCTCTTACCACTCACGCTCCTAGCAGCAATCAATGAAATCTCTCCCATTTTCTCCTTTTTAATCAAATCTTGTTGACCCCACATGTATACATTGCGATGAATATCCATAATACAATTTAACACAACCTGAAATGTTTGCGCAATATAATACCAACATCTTTATAATATCCTCAATTTTTATTGAGGATATTATAAAGATTTTTATTTGTTACCTGTGAGAACGCCGACTGAATTTCCTCTAAAGACGGCTTTATAAGAATTTTGGGAATTTCCAAATACATCATCGTGAGCATGAGAGGTTTCAGTTTCTTTTGTTCTTCGGGGTCCGTCGTCATAGTCAAGAAGCTAAAATATTAATACCAAATTAATTGCTAATGTTATGATTTCATTATTTAGCATCACCTTAACTTCAATCTGATCTGATTAATTATTATTTGAATTTTATATATGTATATTTAATTTTAATGCGTTCAGGTGTCTAAAAATAAATTTATTCCTTAGCAATGGTGTGACAAACAGATATTACTTAAATCAGCCTAATGTTAGTTATGTTAGTAGTAATGGTTAATTTTATTTATAAATATTTTATTATGATTACCTGGAAACCGAGGCTCGTTTTCTAAGTAGATCTAAACTTTGTCTCGTACATTTTATAAGAGCTTCCAGACACTTTGTGGCAAAGTATGCAAAAAGCTCGTTGCATTCATTTATCGCGTGCATAGGTTCAAATCTATCGGGATTTTCAATCTCCATAAACGCTATAGCAACAATGAAACCCATTAATTTTTTATAAAATATACAACATTGGTAATAAATTTTATTATAGAACACACCTGCATCTTCTGGGAACACTCTGGTAGCTGATGTTACTTGTTTCAACGCCTTTTCTGTATCCAACCTTTAAAAAATACAATAGTTAGGAATATAAACGCTATATAATATTTATATTTATTTAATATTAACTTGAGTCTCACCAGTTATCTTTTAAATCTCGGATCTGTTTCGATGGAACACTATCTAAGAACTTATTTATTAATTCTATTACAGCCAGCTCTGCGTTCCAAGATTTTTGCTGTATTTCATTGGCTATAAAATTTCAATGATAAATATTAAACATTTAATTAGATTTTTTTAGTCTTATTTTCCTTTACAATACTCCTTACCGATTTCATCTCGCCTTATCAAATTTTCTTCATAGAATGAATTGGGATCCACTGCGGTCTTAGGCAAGTATACTAATAAAGTTGTCGCTATTGACTGCAAAATGGCATCTATACGTGCCTCCTTCATATCTACAACCTAAAACATTGAAGATGTTGACAAAACGTTTCAAGTGCCAGTAACAAAATATGACTGCATTTTACAAGTTATTAACTTATTATAAGCTATAATTGTATCTACAATTAAATTTATCAATATTATTCCCCAAAGGCTACTTTTTATAAGCTTCTCATTTTAATAAAAATAATCGAACATTTAATTTTACGACTGAACAAAAAATAAATAGAAACCTCTTTAATAAATAGATCAACTTCGTCGAGTACAGTCTCAATGTTATCACAATACGCCGGTATCTCTAAAGAAGTCCATGTTATTATGGAGAGTCCCGGCTGAAAGGCTTGATCAAGCTTAATCAGCTGTGCTCGCAACAACGGCAGGTAAAGTTTTGGCATACTCCTAAATTCATGTATATTAAGTATTAAAAATGAAAGTCATCTAAAAAAATAATGGTATTATACTATTATTAGATTTTTTTATAAGTTAAAAAACAAGAACCTTCGTATCTGATTATTGCGCTCCACCAAAAATTTTATACGTTCATAGTCCGCAAATATTTTGTCCTTAGAGTACGCTACGATTTGCGCGGCATCAGGAACACCTATTAACACAATAAATAAGTTTAAATAATTCCATTTCAATTCAACTTATTCTATTATTTCGATTTTTTTGTATAATTATAACTCACTCAAACCCAACTGCCACATATATTCCACCTCCCTTATGCATTCGGGAATATAGATGTTGAAGTTGACAATAAATAAATTGGTGACGGGATGACGTATAAGTAGAGGTGCGATTAAGCCAAGTCGGACCTAAAAAATATTTTGTAATAGAAAACAAACATATTCACAAATTTTTATGACAGATAATAAGCAACAAGATGTTTATAAAAACATGTCAATTTACCTGACCAACGTTTTCTCCATCCAGGCGCTGTGATAAATAAGTTCGAATTCCGTAAACACAATGCTCATAACATTATAGAGTTTTATACATCTTTGAGTATTCTGAAACAGTAAAAGAGAACATATCAATACTTCTTTAAAAATAAGAAGTCTTATATCTTCGAATTAATACAATAATATGATAAGATGGTATTAATTAGTGAGTAATTAAATAGTTACCATATGAGTTATGACCTCGTGATGTTTCATGAACTCCTTCATAGGACACTTTATATTTTTATCATAAAATCTTATCCACATCACCCTTCCAGAAACCGGAGGCATATTACGCGGTAAGTCAGGATTTTCTCTTTCTTCGTTATACCTTAGAATAAGTTAAAAAATTTACAACATCATCAGTCGAACGGAGACACTGCTGCGCAAGGGTTTCTTATCGCAGAGAGAAAGTTAGAGCATTAACCACCACGCTTGCTAAAGGTGAATTGACGATTTCAAACTCAGGATTTAAAGTTATAAGTCACGATATTTTACTTCACCGCTTGTCAGTGGTGTCTAAATATTCTTAGGAAGTACATATGACTCGAAAAAATTACATTGGTACTTGCTAGATTTTGAACTAGAGGTGGGCCTTTAACCTCTTGGCACCAGGACTCATTTACTTAGTTTAAAAAGCTAAGCAGTATCACTACATAAGTCATTAAAAATGGAATTTAATAAATACCTATCTCGAATAGCTTCAATCTCCCCAGTGTACTTGCTGATGAGATCATAATACTGATCCTCAAGATACAAGCAGTCCAACTTAAGTTTCTTAAACCTTTCCAATAGATGCAATGCTATTTCAGTCGTTGGACATTTGTTCACACTCTGAAATTTGTCATATGATTAAAAGATTGTATAAAATTTATAAATCTGTTTTAAAAACTGAATATTTCATACCGCAATCATAAAATTCTCCAACATAATAGTTCTTGTGTTGCAACATTGTCTTTGTAAGTCTTATAATCCTTGTCGAAGTCTGGTCGCCTGCAAGGAATAAAGAGCTTAGTTTCTGTAGAAAATATTTTATTGTACAAAAGTTGAAACAAATACCTGTGGTCGAGAGCATCGTACGTTTTCGAAGATATGACCTTAAAAAGTTTATTAAAGTTTACGGCGTACTCTTCAATCCCTTCGAGAGTGGTTTTATTAAGAACGTAGTAAGTAATGTATGTTTGAAACAAATCTATGATCTGTAATTTTTACAAATATTAATAAATCGAGTTTTTTTTACTTTTCTTCAAATATATAGATTACGCATTGAATGAACCTTAAGTAACCGCTTTCGGAACGTTTCAAATTTTCCAAAAATATACATTTCGGAACAATCAAATGGACGTTCATCGGCCGCTTCCATCATTTCCATCTGAGTTTCGTTATAGCATTCACGATAAAAACTGTATAGATTCAGACATAACTGTAAATAAACATCATATTAATTAAGGACAAAAAATCTGAAGCCTTTATAGGTATTTAATGATCGTACTACATTTCCGCCCTGATATTATTACCTTAGCCTTACTGATAAAGTTAAGTTTGTCTTGATTCCATATAGTTTTCTTGTCACCATTCGTCAAATAATCCATGCACATATTAAGGATTTGGTTAGTTACTTTAACAAGCAACGTTGATATTTGTTTCGTAGTATTGTAGTAACGGGAAGTAGCGAATATCATTCGCACAGTGTAAATCAAACCCGGTAAGTACTGCTGCATGGTCAATGGATCACATCTATATTGATAAGGTTAGTTAAATATTGTTGGAGTTTTTATATAAGAAAACTTAATACTTCCATATATTTGTCTGTTGACTTTACCTGTACAAAGGTTCGCAGTATTTTTCCAGAGCGTAAAGATATCTAACGTTATCAAAAGCTTCATTATAGTAATCTGTTACTTGATTATCTAACATTCGCCATTTCTAAAAATATTCAAATTATTTATTTCTTTGGATAAATCAAATATTCTAGGATCTAGGAATTTTAGTGGTTAATGGTGTGTTATCAAACCTTAAGTAGTTTAGACTTGGCTCGTATGAGAGTATGTATGTACATTTGGCAGGGATCGCTCTTGATGTGTTCTATGATGGATGTAAATGACGTCAATTGCCTACGCCAGTGGTCAAGCTCAGCTAAAGGCCCTATATTCGAAGGCTCACGTCGTAGCTGTTGACTTTGTACCAATACCTGATAATAAAATAAAATCAAATCAAATACATTGAACTCGCGCTTACTATTGTTTAAAATTTATTTTCATATCAGAGTCCCATTTTAATAGCAGTCACTTATTCTTAGGACAGTAAAATACGATAAATATATACAAATTAGTTACAGTAGATATATTACAGTAGAAAGTAATACATTACCATTGTAATTTGTTTAACCCACTGTTTGACATAAAAACAAATTTCCTCCAAAACATGAGTCTTGGTAATTGCAGCTTTCATCTTCTCTAAATCAGAGAGTTCTTCTTCATACAGAACTAGATTTATCTTAAACTTCGTACAGCAATCCAAATCTATCTTTGTTTCTGCATTATTATAACAAAGTAAAAACCGACGAATTTGTATTATGATATTAATAATAAATTTGAAAAATCAACTAACTGGCAAGATAATCGATGAAGAGCATTATTTTCGAAATATATGTTTTTATAATATCAGTACTCCTGGGGTTTGGTGGATTAAGATCGCCCCAAGCTTGACATGTTTGTAAGGCTGGAACGTAAACTCTTTTCATAGTCTTGAATATACCTGATACGACGTTCTCTGTCTCTTGGTTCATATCAAATAAGACTAAATAATAGTCCTGCAAAAAAAGTAAAGTAAGATATACAGTCCAAAAATTTAATGGTTCTCTTTAATTTTGATTCAAGTGACTTACTTCCGCCACATTCTTTTTTATATCAATAAGTTTATTCTTGATGCGATACATGGCCACACACATACCCTCCGTTCCAATTGTCGCCGCATCAGATATGTAAGTTCTCTCCATCTTACCTTTTTGATTTGGCACGAATCTTCCGGACTCTTATGAGAATAAATATTATTATTGATTAAAAGCTTATTGACTCTTGATAAATTAATACTGTGATAAATAAAGGAAAAAAATATATCATATCCATTACCCATTTTTAAAGGTGGCAGTAGAGCATCACAGAGAACAAAACAATTTCTTCCCCCCTCTACTAACGCACTATCCATTATCTCAATATGAATATCAGCATCATAAACACCTTCCTAAAATACAGGGAACATATTTAACAATTGCGTTCAGATTGAACTACCTTAGTAATACTATTAGTAATAATAGTTACCATAACATAATCAATACTCTTATTTAAAATTTCAGCTGCATTTTCTAGCAGAAATCTACTTTGTGTTTTTACTCCACCCATTCTATTATTGCGAGCTTCTTTAGCTTTCGCCTAAAACGATTCATTGTTGTTATTTGATTACAATACATTAAATTAAACAAAATAATCAGTTAAGAACTTTATTTACTTGTTTATCTTTGTAAGACTCGTGACCTAAGGCCAGTGTGCTCATAGATATTTTGCTTTTCTTCTGGATGTCCTGTAATCTTGAACTGACATCGAGAATAGCTTCCAGGGCAGTTCTGTCTATATCTATTATACTTTGTGCATTCAGAGATGATGTGGAAGGCATCACTGATTTCTTACGTGACATTTTTCTAGCCACTTCATCTATCTTCACAGCAGTTTCTTCTACAGCTTCTGCATTTGCCTGTCCACCTTCTTCTTGAGGGGCTTCCGCAGTATTTTCGCCAGGTTCGGGAGGTTCCCCTGCAGGATTCTCACCACCTTCAGCAGGTTTATCGCCAGCTTCTCCAGACATTATTAACAATAACAACAAAAATACTAATACAAAATATCAATATCAATATTTATGCTATCGTCCACAAAATCCTAAACACTTTTGACAATATTTAATGATGAATACTTCAAAAATTAAATCGATTCGAAATACGAAATTATTGTTTTCTTATTTTGTTTAAACCTAAGAAAAGGTCTTATATAATTCTTGTTATTATAGAAATAATAATTTCACTGAGTACAACGTAACTAAATTATTTGATTCATACTTACGTTATAAATTTACTTTATATACATAATATAAAAAAATCTTTTACTTATAATAACCTAAAGAGTTTTAATAACTACCACTCTTTATCGTCAATTTGTGATTAATCAATCAGTTGACAATCACCTGAATAATGCAAAACAAATATCAACATAAGACCTAAAATTAAATATAATGTAAAAAATGTATGGTCGACTGCAGTTGAATTCCATTTAAAACACAAATCAATAAACTTCTTTGATACATGTAAGTTATTTAAAATTGAATTTCGCAAAAAAAAAACCTCACGTTCAAGGTTACGCCTTTTAGTAGATATTATATGTAAACGTATTATCGAAATTAAATGATAACAATGAAATACGACTAATAAAAAAAGTGCAATTTATGGGTTGACTGCCGCGTCTATCTGATATACTCGTATATACAATAAACAGACATATATTACCTCACAGCAAATAAAAGCGTCGTGTATAACACGAACTAAAAACAAATATATATAAAGAAAGTTATACTTTATATTCATATGGATAATAAATATGATTTCGAACTCTACTTGTAGATTTCAATATTACAAGCACAATTTCGTATTTCTTTGCATGATCTTATTGGTTAAGACTATAAATTAATACAAAAATCACATCACAGAACGTATGTACAACAAACAAAAATATTTAATGCTCTGGCTACGTATTTATGTATATGTATAACATATGTACTTATCTGGTTTACGGATAAATTATCATCATTTTTAAATAAACACATTTTCGACACATAAAATTTATGACGAAATACACGGTTAAAAAGAGGTACCCAAAAGCCAGTATTGTAACATTATAGGAAAATATTCTAAAGTGCCTACCTTATTGTTCTAGGCTATGAAGAATCGCAGCGGAAGATAAAATGATTTTTATTTTGTGGTATATAGCTATTGCTTACAGCTTCTATATGTAAGTATTTTCATGAGATATTTTTGTGGTCCCAATTATTAAACTAATCTAAAAGAAAGAATTAAAGTAATACAGTCGTTTTTGTTCCTTTTTTGATTTTAAAAGAAATAATGATAACATGATTAAAAAATAATTAAATTATTCATATTAATAAACTTCTCGATCTAAAGCAATACGTAATATTTCATCAAATCAAATTCAAGGGGATGGTTACCTGTGGGAGGTAGCGAATCAGGTGAAACAACTCAAGCAAACCAATCAAATGTGACACCCTATAGCACCGACGCCACAAATGACAGGTCATTGAACAAATTAATATTACTAGATATAATAATAGTGAAGGGTAACATAATATTACGTATAAATATTCTGAAAAAAAAAACCATTTTATTTAATTGTGGATAAAGAAAAATAATCTATTTTAGGTATATGTACCTTGTACTTTAAATTAAAAACAAAATAATAATTAAATTTGTTATACTTCCACAAAAATTAGATATCATAGATCATTAGCGTTTTATGTAACTATAACAGTTTTATATATAGTATTTCATAAACATATATACCTAATATAAAAATAAACTAAAACAATCACACCGAAATAAATATGTGCTTTCATATAGCCTATAGGTATATACTCTGTACTCGGAAAAACGAATTGTGACATCTTTAGTTTAAATTCATGTGTTGGTTTTATTAGAATAAGCACGATTTCTAAATAAATGTTTAGCTTGAACAAATGCGTAAAAATAAATCCCGATATAATTATTACAGTATATAATAAGTACCAGAAAATTACATGAAAATGGCCTTTCTGACTTACGACAGATTTATGAATCCACCAACACAATAATCGTCATATTCGTTAAAGTAAGCTTTTTGATTATGATATTTCCTCGTGTTGCCACCCTAAAAAAAAGAGTCAATACTTCTGATATCATCAAAAATATTGTAATAAGTGTCAAACTATCACGCAGGTTTTGCAAATGTCACTTCAAATTAATCATTTTGTAAAAGACTCACAGACACTTAGCGTCATTTAGGAAATTTAAGTATTTTGGCAGTAATATTAAAATCATATATATAATTTTACTTGAACACAGACTTAAACAAATGTTAAGTATAAAATTGTTATTTAACCAGCTTTTTTCATAGTCGCTATTAATTATGTATAAAAGCAATCAATGTCGTCCACTAACGTTCTATATCTACGTTTTTCGATTTTCTATTCAGATTGATCAAGCTACTCAAATGCAATAAAAAGAAAGAAATTAAATTAACAAAGAATTTAGTGTCCTGTTTAATTTATACAGTTTGTATCTGGCTGAGAAATGAAGAAATGAAAATTTTACTCAAAATCATGTAAATGACAAGCAATGTAAATGAAACAAAATCTAAAACACATCCCGAAACTTATAGATATCAAAAACATTTTAGATTTACATGTAAAATAAAGAAAATGAAAAGTTTGTAATTGATAGATATACCTACTAAGCACTCATATCAATTATCTAAGATCTGTTAATTTTCTTGGAAAGTCAATTTCCGTTGTTTTAGATTCATTAGACATAAGAGAAAAACTTTCACAAACGAGATGCAGTTGATAATTATAAAAAAAAACAGGGCATTAAATACCCGTCATTTAAGTAATACATTTTATACCCGAATTATGATAGTCCAAAAATGTCTGATATCGTTTTGGAAAAGAGCTGACCTAGCTGAGAACTACCGCAGTGATACTGGCTTTTAATTAAATAAACTCTCATCAAGTTCGGTCATACATACATAGACATACGCTCGCACACACACACACACACTTAAGGTAAATTTGACTCTAATTTGAGTGTAGAAAGCAAAACCATAAAATTGACGCTAAAGCGAAATAAAAATAACTTTTGGCTACATTTCTTATTAAAACAGTTTATATTAAGATAACCCGTGACATTAAAAAAAACCTGTATTCCAAAACGGTTATCAACAATTTATGAAATTAAAGGGTTAAATAAATAATTTAATAAATTGTCCCTTCTTAATTTTTAAGGAATAAAATAGTTCATCATTACTAAAATTATTATTATTATTATTATTATTTGAAGAAAAATTATAACATAGCTCTTCAAAGTTACTTTTGAAAACAAAACGATACCTCCCACGTATGTTGTGGTATGCCACAAAAATGCTATTTTGCTTTTTTTCTAAAAAATATCCTATTATGGATTTATAAAATCCATTCAAATTAAAAAAACAACAAAAACACTATTTTTAAAGGATTTGTCAGACGCATAATGTTGTAATTTTCAAACGAGAACGGATTAAACTGATGTATATGTCTATGCAATTGTTTATGCGGTACGCGAGGTGGGTAAAATCACGCGCTCCCGCCGCGTATGAGTTACATACAACAGAATAAGACTTATGTTTTTCAACGTATACAGTTGTAACTATCATATACCACAAGTGATACTACCGGGACGCCGCGGTATAATGTTGTAAGTATCAGATACAACGCCTTTTTTAGCTTCTACTCCGGAGTAAAATGTCGTTTGAACAATGTAACAACAATATCTTTTAACGAAGTTAAGAAGACTATTATGTTAAATTTAAATGCGAAATTTTAAAAAGATGCATCAATAGATGCAGGTTTTGGTTTAATTTGAATCTTTGAAACGCTCTACTGTAAAAATTACACTTTTGGGAATACAACAACCCACGTGGGAGGTATCGAAAAATTGAATACGCCTATATAGTAAATTTAAAAGTCAATTTGGCATTTTCATTTAATTTTTTGAATAATAATTATTTTATATTATATATCACTACAACTTAATAACTTGCATATATATGAACATTAGATAAGTAGATAAAATATATACTACTTTTTGTGACCAGTTTCCGAATACTTTTACTTCTTCAAAATTTGTACATCTATAATGTACTCATATTAAATGTAGTTTTAAAATTATTGTAGAACCTAAAACCTGACTTTATTATGGAAATGCATGAAAAAAAATGGTTTCAACTTACGTCGTAGGTATATCAAGATTCTAAAACACTGTAAGTACGAGGACTGCTTATGTGTAAAACCTATAAAAGTAAGCACATATAATTTTTTTATACTTTCAGACCCAAGCTTTCCGCGGCCAAAATGAATATGCATGTCTAGAAACTTCGAAACAGGCCTTCTACTAAGTATTCAAATCTTAATTAAAAAAAGTCTTTAGAATTTTGATAAACTACGAATACAACATAGAAGTGAACATCTGGATACTTTTAATAAAATGATATTTTTAAAAAACCATGTGATTTTATTAATAAATTTAGATATTTAAAAAATAAACACCCTCTTCTAGTGACTAGTATTCTAGTCTAGACTAGATTTGTTCCAAAGAGCAAAAAGTTAAAATAGGCAACTCTTCTAAATTCTTAAGTCTTTAATTGAAAACATTTTAAGATTCACGTACTTACAGTATAAAATGAAATAAAAGAAATAATTACTCTCCAGCTACATATATAAATAATAAGATTTTGAAACAAAAAGTATGCATCTAATTTTAAACATATTTATAGACAAAAAACATAGTATTGTTCAAGTATATCAAATAACACGAACAATTTATTAGAATCAAAGGTAGAAGAATTCTACAAGTGTCTACTTCTTGTATGAAACAGCAAGGAAGTTTTGGTGTAAATCAAAACGGGCAACACTAACATTAACTCGAACTAAACGTCAGCCGTCAGAACAGCAATTGTCTATTGTCCAAAACCGGACAAAACAAACTATTCAACAATAATTGTTAATGCGGTAGCATTACCAACGCGTATTAAATAAAAATTCAACAATGTCTCAAGGTATAGTTTATATACTGATTATTTGTTTTACTGATTTACCTGTGACATTTTATTTATCATATTCATTAACTTATAGGTTCGGAAAAACCTTTATCGAGTCAGGATGTTGTCGATCCCACCGGACCTACTGCACGAAAAGGAGTACTTATATCTTTCCGCACTGGGAAGACTATGGAAATTCCTGAGAAAGATATCGTATGTTTTCACTAATGTTTTATTGGTTCCATTACTGCACAAAACTGTTTAAATCCATATATCTATTTCTGTCAATAGTTGGGAAGATGTCGTTTTGTCGGCGAGTTCGAAAAATTAAATCGAATCGGGGAAGGCACATATGGTATAGTATGTAAGTTGCTCGTTATAAGGTTATCTTTTGTGAATTATTTTCTCATTCATAACAATAATAATATACTCCATGATTTCAGATAGAGCCAAAGATAAATTGAATGGCAATATTGTTGCTTTGAAAAAAGTGAGAATGGATGTTGAAAAGGATGGTTTACCTTTAAGTGGCCTTAGAGAAATTCAGGTCCTCATGGCTTGTCGTCATGAGAACATTGTGCAGTTGAAAGAAGTTTTAGTTGGGCGCTCACTTGAAAGGTATTTACATAGTTACTAATATTTAGTAATATACATTATTAATTAGAAACAATGCAATGTATGTAAGTAGCCCATGCTTTTATCCTATATTTGTTTTTATTTTCATTTATTACTAAGATTTCATCATAGTTTCAATTGCACATGGTGTTTTTTTTTTCAAATACAACTACCCTTTGTACTAGCTTATCAAACATTTTACATTCATAACTACTGTAATGAATATCAAAAATTTTCTCCCAGTAACTCTTAATATTATCTAAAAATTATAAAACGATCAATATTTTGTATAACAATAATATATTAAAGTATTTATCTTTTCAGCATATTCCTATCAATGGAGTATTGTGAGCAGGATCTGGCTTCACTTTTGGACAATATGACATCTCCATTTACTGAATCACAGGTCAAATGTCTTATGCTGCAAGTATTAAAAGGCTTGAAGTACCTGCACTCGAACTTCATTGTGCATAGAGATTTAAAAGTTTCCAATTTATTGTTAACTGACAAAGGATGTGTTAAAATAGGTGGGTGCAAAATTTTTATTCAATTATCTCCAAAGGTTTGTTTTAAGGTAATCATAACTATATTTTAGCCTTGTCATGAGAAAATTCACATATTAATCAAATATTATGTGAATTCTTTAGTAAAACATAATGCTTAGTTACCATCTATCACTCTAGAATCACATTCATAAATTCATGCATATTGATTATAATCATTAGGAAGTCTTTGTTAAAACCTCCTGGAGATCATACAAGATTTTTATATTTAATTATTAAACTATCTAACCATTGATACATTTTATAATGAGAAATACAGACAAAAATGTATTTTGAAAATACATGTACTTTGTACACTAAAATCTTATTCTGTTTATAGAAAAAGTGAAATCAAAAATTATCTTGTTGTAATTTTTTTACTCACTAATTTTACATGATTTGAATAAATTTAAGACAACATAATCATTTATAAATAAATCACTTCATTTTAATCATAATACTCAAAACAAATTACTAAAACCCAAAATTCTGTCTTGTATACTATCCAACTTTAATATGTTATCTTGTTTCACTTACAGCCGATTTTGGTTTGGCCCGGTGGTTGGGTGCTACAAGGAGTGCCACACCTCGTGTTGTAACACTCTGGTATCGAGCACCTGAACTTCTGCTTCAATCACCAAAACAGACTCCAGCGTTAGACATGTGGGCAGCTGGGTGTATTCTTGGTGAACTACTAGCCAACAAGCCCTTACTACCTGGCAGGACTGAGATAGAACAATTGGAACTAATTGTTGATTTACTTGGTATGTTCTCATATTTTTTGTGTGTCAAAGAAATTTTGACTAGTGACTACATACTAAATTTATTTGTTTATAGGAACACCATCAGATGCAATCTGGCCAGAATTTAGTGCCTTGCCAGCTTTACAGAACTTTACATTGAAACAACAGCCCTACAATAATTTGAAGCAGAAATTTCCATGGCTCTCCGCAGCTGGGTTGAGGCTTTTGAATTTCCTGTTCATGTATGACCCTAATAAGAGAGCCACTGCTGAAGAATGCCTGCAAAGTTCATACTTCAAAGAACAGCCATTACGTAAGTTTTTAATTCCAATCATTTTATAGTTTGACAGCATTACTCCTATCATACATAGTCAATTTATTCAGAAATCCCTTAATTTTTTTTACCATTAAATTAAATACAGATTATTTCCAGTATTTACATGTCTTCAAACATGATAGTATTACTGAAGATTCAAAATATTTAAGTTCAGGAAAATCTCTGTATGTAGTTTCATGAAGCATACTTTTTGTAGAAGTAGTGAGATATCCTTTATATTCAAATAACTTTGAATCTGTTTTATAGAGAAACCAAATATGAACGATTTTGAGTCTCTGTCTGCATATTCCTTTTATGAAGGCTTCTAAATAACTTTATATAAATGTATATGTTCAAGAACCAAATTTATACATTTATATAAATTATTACCAAATTAAAAATAAATATAGGCAGAGTTGCAGAGCTTTTTTCATAAGCATATGCATTTTAAAACACACCCTATTGTGTGTATACTAATGATAATAATACTAATACAATATAAAACTAGTAATAATTGTTCTTTCTCATATTATACTCATATTGTTGTTATACATGAACAAGAGATTTAATGTCTCAACATTGAAGAATCTTTATTTTATATATTAAATGAATGTCTTTTAACCATTGGAACTTTTTTATTTTCAGCCTGCGATCCAAAGTTGATGCCAACCTTTCCTCAACACAGAAATATGAAGGGCCAACAAAAAGCTTCATCAAACCAACTCAACATTCCCCTGTCAAATCTTAACACAGGCGCCAATGATCAGACCAACAACCTGCCTGCCATTTCAGATTTATTGGGATCCCTTGTCAAGAAACGTAGATTAGATTAAGAATTACATACATTTTAATTGTGTGACTGAGTTAATAAAACATATTTTAAAATATTATGGTAGGTTTATTTAGACTTTAACTTTGTAGGGCAGTTTTGTGAGCTTGCATTTTTTTTTTTTGCTGTGCAGTTTTTAATCTGTTGAGGCATCTTCATCGGCAGATAATCCCATTGCTTGACGGAATTTCTGATACTTTTGTAGAGTCAAAGCATCGCTACTTTTTGCTTTCACTTTTTCCTTCTAAATGGTGTAAAGAACATGCTAAGTATTATTTTACATTTACTCCGCTATATAAACGAAAAAGTATCAAATACTAAATGTGAAGAAGTTTCTACTTACAATTTCTTTTTCCTGCTTTTCTATGCTCTTTAAGGACCGTATGCATTGTGAACACAGAATGACATCTTCCATATGATTGATAGTTTTCTTTCTATGGTGATGTTTCAATCTGCGAATCGACTTTATTTTTGTTTCAAAAAAATATGAGCGTGATCGTTTTAAGTACTGTTCTAGCAGTAAAAAAAACTAAAGAAGTCTTATTACTAGAGTAAATATAACTGAAGTGTTCTTACAATTTCCCACAATAATCGCATTGGAGTTTATCTTTCCGGTGTGTTAAAATGTGCCACCCTAGTTCCTGATAAGTTGGGTATCGTTCGGAACATCTTGGACACACGATCTTGCCTTCCGACCTGCCACCATTAGATTGATGCTCAATTAATTGCTGGGATGTTTGGAAATTTTGATGACAGCTCGAACACCTAAAAATGTTTGAACGAATTAAGCCGGCATTTTGACATATCTATGGAGTTAAAAAGAAATCATCAAACGAATTAGTAAAAATTGGATAAGTATCCTACATAAATATATTCGGTTGTAAATGGTAAGCCATATGCTCGATAATCTTTTTGGGATAGAAGTAGTGAAACTTCTTATCACAACAGCTAACATATCCCGGCACTCCATGTCTTTCTTTATAATGTTTCATGAGTGACTTGAAATGAAAGCCGTTTTCGTGGCAGATGCAACACTCCATTTTGTAGAAGAGAGTAATTTGCCTGTCCAGCGCTGCTCCTTGCTTGGCTGGTCTTCCGTCTATCAAAACTATTGGATCCAAAACGTCATTCGTATAATCTTCCGGTTCTGGTTTTGCTACATCTTTCAAGTTTTGTGGGGGTTTATGTGTAGAGGTGCCACTGTTGAGTAAGGATTTATCCACACGTTCCGTTACAGCGAACTCTTCCATTGGCATTACCTCTAAAAATTTCATATCGGATGGTGATTTCTTCTTTTGCCGTTTTGGTGGTCTAGCATCTCCTTGTTGAAATTCTGTTGGTGGCGTTTTGGGTATACCGTCCTGCTTTGTGACGTTATTTGCAGTTGATGGTATTTTTTGCTTTGATAGAGCATCAATTATCGGTTGCAATTTGTTTTCAGTTATGTTTTGTTCCTCACGCTTGTTACTTGTTTTCATTTTATGAAAATCCAAAAATTTTTGTGTCTTTTCCACTTTTACCGCGTAAAGATGTAAGGCGGCTACTTGTTGTAAGCATTCGTGACATATTGCCTTTGGAAGGTTGTCGTCTGTTCGAATCTAACAAGAAATAATACGGAATGAACTATTATCCCAAAAGCGCATTTGAAATGTGACATAAATAACTATATATCATTTTAAAAACTTACATTTACATCAAATAGTCTTTTGATTTTACGTTTCACTTCAGCATTTAAAGGTTTTAATTTTGAAACATCCGTACATAGACATAAACGACACGACAGTTCACGCACTATAGTTTTCTCTAAAGTGGCGAAGTCGTTCATGCTTGATTTAGAAAATCATTGATTAAAACGGAAAAAGATTAAGGAAAATTTAAATATTTAAAATATAAGTATTGCTATGTGTCCATTACAAAAACGGCTATCCCTCCATCTGATAATTTTGGTAAAAGTTGACAGTTATACGTTAATTATTATCTCAAATTTAAAAACCTTTTTGAAATACCAGCCAATTATAATCTAAAGGATTAATTTTAGAATATCAATAAATAAGGTCCTAAATAAATTTTTTACTGATGCTATTCTTACCAATCTTTTCAGAAATGCTAGTTGTACAGGGTAAATATTATTTTACATTTTTTTATGCTGTTAATAGGCATACTGTTCTGTGGTATTTGACATACACTGGGCTCTTGCCCTTTTCGGAAAAGGTTATTTAAAAAATAAATGCTTGAATTTTGCTTCAGAGTATCAACAGTTCCTAATCAGTAATTAAGGTCTTAAAAGAAACTTGGTGACTAGCCTTTTGTCTAGTTTGGTTGTTCAAATTATAAATGATGCCTCACAGTTTATTTCAGCTTAACCACCGTACTTGACATGCCTGATAGGAAAGTGGAGATCTGCTATGTATATTTGATTTGGTATAAGTATTTATACGTTGGATTTGGCTATTTTGAAAGTGTAAGAACTCATTAAATTAATCACATTGGGCAGTTTTGAGTAAACGCCCTTTTCTGCTTGGGTCGAGAATGTTTTAGGGGAGCAAATTTTTTTTATATAAAATGGTGGCTAACTAGCAGACGGCCTACTTGAAGGAAGGTAGTCACCGTAGCCCATGGACATCTGCAACCTGAGGGACTTTACAGATATGTTGCCGACCTTGATTGTGCAAGAGGGATATTAAAGGACGGGGAAAGGGATACTGAAAAATGAGTTTATTTAGGTATTGTTTATATGAGAATTCCATGTAGTAATCCATTTTTAAAGCTAATGTACAAATAGGGCATTAACCGAGTTTGGATAGTTCATATTGTCAAGAATAGAGATATACGTGCCTTCGAGTATCAGATGTTAGAATTATTCAGAAATATTTTAGCCCTTTCGGCTTATTTAGACTCAGATAGTCACCAATCACCGAAGATATTAATCAATTATGGATTATAAAAGTGGAAAGCAGAAATAACCAGATCGTAATTATAAGGGCGAAGCCAGTCTTAATACCAGTTTGAATTTATTGTTCGTAAATGGTGCAAAGAGTTCTGTTTTTTTTTTGTATAGAAATTAATAAATTATTTAACTTTTAAAAAAGAACCATTCAAATAAAATGAAAAGCCGATATCAGATATAACCTTGAGAACGACCCAGCCTCTAACAACGTTTTATTTTTACGTACCATAAAAATATTTTACAAAAGACTAAAATTTCTTAAAACAATATTAATAAAGTGTCGAACCTGATTCATTGAATTTTGGATTCTATATTATCTATTCTTATTTTAATTTACCTGTTTACTTCAACATTGCTTTAATATTAAAAAACATTTTTATCAGTTCGTTAATTGACATAGAAAATCAGAATAATTTAATTGAATAAAATTATTTTAGTCTTATGCTATCGAAAAACATATAAGCAAATTATTTAAAAGGAATTTGAAAAACTATACGAATCTGTAAAAAACTCTAAAAACCTTCGGATTCAACCAACGAACTGTCGGCATAAAAGTTTGACGAGGCAAAAGATTTATCAGTTTCGCTCTCTTTTAATAGATCTGTTTCACACGTTGACGAGCTTTAAGGCCGCACTTTGAAATTTTTGTATTTCGATTTTCTTATTTTTCTGTAAAAAAAAACAAGCTAATTTACATTCTGAATAAGATACAATTTATACATCGAGGATTTCTCTGTACATTTTCTACCATAAGTCTTATCACAAATAATGAGCAGGTAATCTCGCAATCGAATGTATGCTTGGATAGCCATAGCGTCGTTACGTATCGTACCGACGTCAGGCCCTGCGATCTATGTGCTCACTACCGCAATAATCGGTAAATGGTCTGTTTTTTCGCCTCACCGAATCCTCGACTCTAATTGGTTTCTATGCTGCCTAGAATAGGCTGACTACTGCAGCGCTAAAAGCCCAATTAAAAAAATAACTATTTTATTTGTTTCTTTTATAATTACATACTTGTAAAAAATTTAATAAAAGTATTTTAAATATTTAATAGCAATATGTTGCCAGGCCAACAAACAGCCAATATTATAATAACAATGTCTTTTTTTCTTTTGACAAAACCAAACAAATATTAGCCTGACACATGTCGAGTTCTTCCTCAAAGGATAGAATAAGCGGTAGACGTTTTGTCTCTGATGTCAATTTGTAATACGATAGTTGCTACTTATATAATATCAAGTAAGCAAACTTTTCCTTAATCCAATACTTCAATATAAATATACAAATGCTTAAGCTTACAAAGTGTGTATCTTTATAACAAGTTACTGATAAATGATTGGATAAAAAACTTATAAACTTATTTGGTATTACTTACAAATATAGCAAAATTCTTTTCAACCCAAAAAACAAACAACTCAGTTAGATTATCTCGTTTTACTAAAAGCCCTTAGTTTGTAAGACTATAGGACTAAGACTTTAAAAAATATTTTTCTTTCTAGTTCAAAACAAAGTAAACAGTAATAAGTATATAATAACTAAAGAAGACTACTAACAGGATGACGCTAGTACTAAAAACTACGTGTACCTATGTTGTTAAAAGACGGACTTTAGCAAAATAAAGTCTTAACCTTATTTTAAAAAAAAAAAGAAGAAGTAGTTCTTACATCATTAAATTTTGTTTTGTATCTTGATTACTTTTTTGTTAGGTACATATCTACTGCTGGTGTTTACTCCACAACCAATTTTGAAATTAAGACATCTTCAGAATGTATAGTTGTAAAAATGCCATATGGAACTTTATGAGAAAATTTGACCTCGATTTTAATTTTATTAGATATGAGTTGTGACTATGTCTATTCCCTATATTTTTATTTGATTTTAAGAGTTAGAAATTTATTTTTTACTTTATATAGATAATTTCGACACTGTCTTTTTTATTAATCATGTCCATCAAAAAAATGTTCCTATATTTAGAACCCAAGAGGTAAAATTTGCTTCAACAAGGTTTTAGAAGCTGCAGAATCATTCCATACCATCAATCATTCCGCAGCTGTTGATGTGTGTACGTGCGAAGTTAAGAGAACCATGAAACGGAGACGTTTATAAAATTAGATACTACCATTTTTATTCTTGATATGTTTTCAGCTGGGGACAATTTGATGAATAAGGATGATAACAAAGAAATGTCCGTTATTTATGAGGTTTGTATACTTTTAAACTTTATTTTAAGTACTCTAAATTAAAGAATTATTGAATATATAAAGTACTAGAAGACCTGGCGAAAAATGTATCTTGCTACCTATCAAGAAATATCTATTACGACAGGGTGACTGGTGATTACTATAGTGAGTTGTGAAATCTGACGATCATATATGAAAAAACGTTTGTATATAACATAAATATTAAACGGCTTCTTTTTATGGTTTAACCAAAAATTAATCAATTTTTTCTCATCTTATATACCACCCTGAACCTTAGGTACATTTCACACACAGACAAGATAAATCCGCGCAGCGTTCTCGTTGTTTTATCAGCACGAAACTTTAGGAAAAGCAAGTACCCATTTTTTTATACATAATTCGAAGATAATCATGTACCGATTTAGATTATTGATTAAAAATGTATCTTGCTACCTACCTACATACATATATATTGAAAAAGTTTTTAAATATCATTTATTTTTGGTTTACCTAGCTGCGGTAGCAAAAACTGTAGACTTAAAATTATATAAAAAAAACAAATAAGTCTCTTTTGTTAAGAATTCACTTCGTTCTATTTCAATGCACACAAGTATTAATTTAAGTCATAAACTTTCAGTGAAATGATGCTACAATATGGTATTAATACGATATACTTACTTAAGGTGGTTTAGAGGTTGAAAGAACTTTGAAGAAAATGTACGTAGGTAGCTGCTCTAAAAAAGTTATTAAAATATCTAATTAATAATATGTTATTATTTTAAAAAATCACTTATGTTATCATATTGTTTTCAAAATAAGAGCTTAATCTTGTAAACTATTTTTATTTTATAAAAATATTATGACAACCCTTTATAATTCTCCATTAAAATTATCTTTTCATCTTTCATGTTAAAATGAAAAGATTGTTTTAATGGTCCCTGTCGTAGTGATTAAGTTTTCAAGAAATATAAATTTGTCTATAAACAAAATTCTGACAATTTCACTTTCTGCTCCGAAAAATCTTCTAAGTGGATTCATTTTTGAAATTTGTGTTATTTGGCGTCACACCAAAAACTGCTTAAGTTTTGTGAAATTTGTTAAGACACGGCATACTTAGATTGTACAAGATGCAGATTTTAAATTTCGCTCAACTTTCAAAGTAAAAAAGTTGACTTAAACATCAATATTATAATATAAGCCTTTGTCAAAGAAAATATGGCAAAAATATATCCATACATAAGTTAAATAAGTATAATCATATTAAATAACAAAACAAAACTCTGTTCAATAACCTCTAGAATGTCAACTTTTACCTCTCACATTTAGGTAAATTATTAAATTGATTACAAAATTTCTTTGGAGTGATACATAAGTCTATATATTTTAATAATATAAAGTAACAAAATAAGCTACATACATGTAAATATGTATTTAACTTTTATTATTATTAAAATACTTTTCTTATTTTTGTATAGGTTTTTAAATGCCTTTATCCGTCTATGGATGCCGTTTGTTGAACAACTATAAAATAAACAATAGTTAAAAAATACGATAATCCGGTGAAGTTTTGGGTATCGTTTCGTTCTTAGAATTATTTAGACAACTCTACAAAACTTAAATACATTTCTTAGCCAGTACTACCATCAATTTACAGTGGGTAACACACAGAACCTTTTTTGGTCTAGTCAAATCATCATATTTTTATACTAAAAGAACGTTATTTTTATTAACTTATACATTTTTATAAGAAGTTTTGAAATATAAAATTGCTTTAAATGCAAAATTAAATAACAAAAATAAAAAGTATTATAAGAGTTATCATGGGGATTAATGGAGGCCGAGCAGATTTCTTACAACAAGCGAAATTATAAAAGATCTGGATTAATTGAAGCAATATTTTATTAATCCTAGATTCATTACTAATTTCTGTAAATTTTCAGTCCAACACAATTTAAATATTTTCAAGCACTTAATCTATACAGGTATGTAAAATGAGTTTATATATAAAAAGCCTTGATATATTACGATAAAATCTATATTAGTCTACTGGATTGATAATTTTATTCATAACAATTTTAATATAAGATGTAAGAAACACGGGAACGTAGTTAAAAGTTTTGCAAGGGCGTTTGAAGTACTCGTGTACTCAAGAAATTCTCTGAAATGCACAACGTTTTTCAAAAAGGTCTTTGTTTTAATCTTTTGAGAAATCAGTTCTTTGCTTTTAACCAGTTTCTGAGAAAATTAAAATAGACTATGTCTTAATTTAAAACATTTTTGTATGTTTGGTTGTTCCATACTACCTCATAATCAAATTATGTTTAATTTATTGGAACCATTTATCAGATAAAACAAATTTTAGGGAATTACGTAAATTCCGATTAATAAACAAAATAATATTAGAATATGATGAAAATTTTTAGAATATTTTGGAGCACCCGCAAGCATATGTGAATAAATCCTTAGTTTCTATATATTATTAATTTTTCGTATTTTTTTTTTGTCCGTTACTCAGCGATTTACGAAATGTAGTGGGAGATAGGTGTTAAAAGTAAAGTCTCAAAATTTTATTGATCTAAACAGCAGAAAAATATAAAATGTTATTTATGTAAGTAAAAGTAAATACTTTATAATAAGTATTCCATGTTTTAATTTAAATCAATAAAGTTTAACGAACAGCTCCATTATTGGCAAGGAACGCTAATTTACATACAAAACCATTTAAACTCTGTGTCATAGTTCGAAAATATCGATGAAAATTTATTTATACAAAAATATAAAATTGTATTATCCTCTGATGTAAAGGGTATGATTTAATAATTGAACTTCAAGTGTTTTAGTATCAAATAAAGTCTCTACAAAGACAACAACATGTATGTATATAACTATTTGAAAAGTCTGGTTAAAACATCCATACAAAGCCTGGAGTCTAGATAGTCTGCTATAATTAAATCATATAAAAACATTATTACTTGTACCTTTTACGTCTACTTTCAGATATACAAATGTGCACGTGCTACGGGATTGAAAATTTATATATATTGTCTACTGTCAGTAAGATTCACCTTAATACATTTCCAAAGTCGCTACGTCGCATGGATCGCATCGCCGTACAGCAGTAGGGTCGCCGCGCTGGTAGCCGCGCGACTTGCCATGCTACGAAACACACGCGTCGTTAACCCTATTTTACTGAGGCCGTAAACAATTTATTACGATATACTTTCCGCGAAAACGTCAGCGTTATTATGTTACTTTTATGCGTTTCACATATATATGAAATGTATTCTTTGCTTTTCACAAACTATGTTATTGCTTAATTCCATAGGATTTTTAGTATCTGAATTTAATATATAATTTAAAACGATTTATTATTTTAATTTTTTCTGGTGTAAGTGCGAATTCGAAGATAGTTTTATCGGTGTATTGAAAAAAAAATGCAGCTACAAAAGTCCTCCACTTATCTCGCTGTTTTTTGGATAACAGCTATTTTATTTTGCGATGGTAAGTGCTATTAAAAATATTTTTAAACATATTGTAGACATCTGATTTTTTTCATGAATGACATTTATAAGGACGGTATTTTATTCAAGTATTATGTCCCCTGATTTAAACGTTGTATGACCCACCACGCATAATTATATCCTACTCAATGAGATTTGTCCCCAAAAATAATCCCTTGAATACTTCAAAAAGCTGATCTTAAGGTCTTTATAATTTCATAAGTACCATGATAGAACTTGTAAAAAATAGTTATTCCTATAGTGTATTTCGTATTTTTACATAAGTATTGAATTTTAAATATATAATATCAGATCAAATGACTCAGATATTGGTAGAAAATTGCTAAAACAGTTTCAACGTTGTTGGTAGCATTAAAATACGCAATATTTGTTATCAAATTTCCTTGTTTGTAAAGTATATTGATTATTAACCAAACGATTTCGGTACAGAAATTTCCATTAGAAGGGTTTTCATATTTATAATGAAATTACGGAAGCCCTCACAGATAATTAAGGATGTTAAATAAAATTAACGGTGTACCAATTTGAAGCGTATAAAGTTTCGGTACATCTCTAAATAACAAAATAACTTGATGTACTTATTACGTTCCGTTACGTTATTTTGACTTTTTAATACCATTTAGAAATACACAGTTATTGAAGTTGTTAAAGATAATGAAATTCTAAAATAATATCCTAAATAGTCAAAACTTTGGCAACAATAAGCGTTTCAGCTGATTATTGCAAGAGAGAGAGAATTATTTAGCCTTAGATTTAACATTTGAACTTTGTTAGGGTAGAAATTGGGTCTAGTTGAACTTATTGACAGTTTTCGGGTTGGCAAATATATTGTCTTAATTGTACAACATCAATCAATGGAACGGAATAGCTTTAACTGTTTCAAAGAGTAAGACGATAGTTATTCATATATTTTAAACTATGTAATAACTTTAGTAAAGTGTAGTTCTAGTCATTTTTTATCCATTTTAAGACTGTTAGGCATGTTTCTAAAATTATCAACATTCACAAAATTTCCGAGAAAAGGTAATAACAAAATAAAAGCGAATTCTATTAAGAGTTTAGACAGCACAATTGGGAAAAATAGGACACTGTGTCACTATCTATTAAAATGAAAACTATAAGAGGTTTGCGAAAATTAATACATGAAATATAATGAAAGCCACTTCAAAAGGATGAGGAGGTTAAATCAATCCAAATCAGTGGTTTGGAACAGAACATTTAGAATAACCAGCACCGATCGTTGTGGGATAAACTGTTCTCTTATTTTCATACATTATATTATAGACATTCGAAAACAAAATTGATATTAAAATGATAAAAAATGATCATTTACCAAATTACAAAATACTTTGCTTTAAAATTTTGTTTATTTAAATATTTTTCAAGTTGACAACGGCTCTAACAGTTCATAGCCTTATTATTTTTAAAAATTACATACAGCTAAAAATTTTTTTCAAAAATAGGTTTACTTTTTAATAGGAGCATATTTTGGCAAAAAAAGATTAAGTTTTCAACAAATTCTAGACTGTAAAGTTACTATAAAAAAGATGACATTATATCATATGACATACCGAGGTTTTCTACAAAATTGACAATTTGTTTCGAAACATTTTCATTACGTTTCCTTTTTTTTAAATGGTCAGGATCATTATATCAAACAGATTGCATAAAAGTTATACTTTTCCAATACCTACGACATCGTATACTTTTATTAATATTAATGTTTGAAGGTAGATACATTGAATACGTGCAAGTTGTGTTCGAAAGTCTGAATAATGATAAATTGATACTCTGTTAAGTGATTTTCTGTAAGATATTCATGACTCACCAAAACAATTTATATACATTTTTATTTAAACAAATAATTTTTATATAATATGTCATATAAAATGAGACCAAAACTTCTCACCCTTCCATGGATTTATCATGCGGGTGCTAGTTCCATCGCGTTGCAGGGAAAAGAGTTTTAACGGTACCTGAGCCTTGCGACACAAGTGTAGGTTTAAGGAGCCCCAATCTAACGCGCGTTAAACTCTCACCTCCACCGTACAAGCTCCTCTCTCTATCTAACCACATTGGAAAAGAACCTACTAGGGCTGCCATCGTAGTACGTTTTAAGAATGAATTGATGTTAGTTCTAGATAGGCCCAAGTCTTTTTGTAGGTTGTAGTGAGAATTAGCTGTTATACCTCTCGCCCCCACTTCTACCGCGTACAAATTTACGACGAACCTATTCTTAGTGAGCTCGTAGTACTTGTTGTCTGTAGAACTTGATGACATATAAACACATTACACAACGCGCTTTAAAACTCGCGCCACCACAGAAATATGTATTGTCTGGACGCCGACGCACAAATATCGTTTCTGCTACGTTTTCAACATTAAAGTCTAATCCAGAGCCGCTTTAAGGATTGAGTAACGATTGACGTTTTATTTTACAGTTCTAGTGCGTTCTCCAATACTAAAAAAGATGAGTCAATATAAAAAAATATTCTTAAATTGTTTTGTCGTATATATATCACATAGAATCTTTCAAAATAAAGATAAAGTTAGCTTTCTAGGTATAAAATCTAACGATAATTGTATTCAAAAGGCTAAACTTGTTTCCTCAAACATCCAAGCCATTAAACTCAGCTGAAGTGTATATTAGTAACTTAGCCTTCCCATTAAGATTTCAAGAACGTCCTGACAGTTCCAATCCTTGGCTAATAAGGATTCATTGGGGGTGGCGAAAGTTCCGTTAGTGGAGTGGCTTTATAAAGTATACAGAATGTTTGTTATACAGCGACATGTGAATGGTACAGAATTTATCAATGATATTTAAACATAACACAACTTTAAACATATAGTACTTTATTTGTCTGTGGCAATTCTGTCTTATCTATTTGTATTTGAAATAGGCTTTCGACATAGTATTATCGATATTAAATGCATTGATATTAATAAAAATTCTTGATTTAGATCATATTACTTACATGAATTTATTTATATTTTGTTGAATCTGGTGACAATCTTCACAGATCATTAAGTTATTTTGCCACCAGCTGATATGTATGATTTATACATATGTACATGTATACAGCCTAAGCTTTACATTTATCATGTACAAAGCGTTTCCCGTTTCTCATTGAACAGCCTACTTTAATTCTATAACGCGCAGAGTTATGAATGAGAAAACGTTAATGCTCCGTGTGTTGTGTGATGCTACAAACTTTTTATAATTCTACAGAAACTATTTTTATAAATCTAATGGCAAATCATAACTTAGGTGTTATCATAATCGAAGAATTTGTTCCATGTTCTCAATATTTCTTTAAAAACTAATAGGTGTATTGTATTTTTTTAATACACAAAAATCATGCAAATCCGTTCAGTTACATATAAATTTTACCTTTACAAATTTATTAAAATAAAACAACAGCCTCTTCGTCAAATTATTTTTTGAGAGATTAATAAAACTGGTTCAACATCAAAATATATTTTTGTTATTTGATGAGTATGAAAATAAAAAGAATTTTAAAATACTCTGTTGAATATTTTAAAATAGCTTCAGTTTGACGATTGTTGAAATAAAAAAAAACAAGTTGAAAACGTTTTTCTGAATTAATTATTCTAAGCGATCTTTTACTCTAAAGTCTGATGAAAATGCTAAAAAAACTTGGCCAGCTTAGTTTTAAAAATTGTTATTGTGCTCTCCACTGTTTCTGTAGTGCGATAAATCTAAAAGTTTTTTTGATATACAAATTTCATAGAAGAATTACATTAAACGATTGTGTGAATCTTCCAAATATATATTACCTTCAAATTCTGTTCATATGATTTTCTGAAATATCATTTACTGTTATTTGTTGCCAAAAATGTGAATATCTTTTTCAGTAGATACATACATAGTATTAGAAGTGATTTGGTGATATTAAACAATTAAGAGCTTCTATTCATACAAGCGCAAAATACAAAAGTTAAACATATTGATTCAAACGTTTAACCATTTTTGCTTGATTAATGTTTCGCGTTAATCTTATTCGGACTTCAATGCAATTAAGTATTTTATTACATATAATAAATTATTGTAGTCTCAAATATCATTTGAATAAAACGTGCAGACAAAAGAATTCTTCGATACGAGCATTGTTCGATTTTGTTTTTGTATCGAGATATCACGTCTGAATTGTGTTAAGATTTTTTTTACTACATATAATAATTACAGTTTTTATTCAATAAACACAATATATTCCTGAATCTTAAGGATTTTAAATTAACAATACTTTTTACTTACTTTTTTTTTTTCTACAAACAACAATTTAAATATAAATAGACGTAGATTCGGAACTACTCAATGTTACATAAAAAACTCGTTAGAAAATACGTGGTAAATAAACATATTTCATAGTAAGGGAAAGGCGAACGATAAAAGTCATATATATTCTGGAGCTCTTTTTAGAAATGCGTAATAGTTTTTTAATATTAAAAATGGAATATAAAAAGGTATGTAGGTAATCTGAATAACACTTAAAATGAGAATGTAAATTTGTTTTCGGTATTTGTTACTCTCTCCCTAACCAATCAGGCGACCGTAATGAATTTTTAAATATGTATATTTTGCTTAAAAAAGGGCTATACGAGAATGGTGTACAAAAATATTTTCCAGCAAAGAAACGAATAAAGAAAATAAATACACGAGACAGGTCCGTTCATTTAAAACTCAAAAATTAAGCTATGACAATATCAATTTCCGCTTATACTTAGATAAACCGAAGCGATGTAAAACTGTGAATGCTTTTAATTGTTCTTTTGAATTACCACATATAAAAGTATGCCAGTATCTGTCATTGTGCACGACCTGTATACATATGTATATTAATTTGTCTTTGATAGTGTGTATTCGCACCAGTCCACGTCTTTTATAATCTGTAATATTAAACAGAACTACTGGTGTCACATATACATAAATGAGCTTTGCGGACATAATATTTTATTGAAAATTTAAAAATATACCTAATTATAGCAAAAATTTTTAAACTTACCTGTGACAACAACACGATTTTTTAAATATAAAACATTGAAATGACAAAGAACATGATTAAAAACATTTAATTTAATAAAGTAAAAACGGAAATATCATAATCAGAATCTTTTAACGCTAGACTTTAAAGTAGTAGTAAATGTATGTATGTATGTATGACTAACAAAAACATTCTTACTTCCAGAAGTACGTACATGTGATGAGGAATACCAACTAATTCGACATCTAATGGGAAAGTATGACGCCTCAGTGCGGCCTGTGGAGAACTCCTCCCACCCCCTCCTCGTGACCTTCGGCGTCTCACTGCATCACATCATCGACGTGGTAAGAGCTCCATTATAATGAACCGAAGATAACAATGCAGTCGGATATAAATAAAAAAAAAGTTTTCATGTATTCAATCTTCAACGGGTTGCAGTTTATAATTGGATTCTGATGTTTAAGCGCAAAGATATTATGACACTGAATATATTTTACCCAACAACAGAGATCTCGTTAAAGATGATTGTTGTGTCAATTTACGTCAATCACAAGCTCTTGAATCTTTTTGAAGTAAACATTCCGTATATAATATCAGAGCTTGTTATCATCTTAAACAACCAGGTCTATAAAATCAATTATTATCATGAGCAATAAATTATGTGTGTATGAAGATAGACGATTAAGTATTTTTTCTTTATTAATATAATGTTATTGGATTCTCTTTACACACACTATTTCAGTGTCTTACGATTTTAATGAAAATAAATTGAATTCGAAAATTCGAGAAAGATTTTATACAATAGTAGGGGCTAAATATCATTCATTGAAATTAAATGTTAGTGACTGAATCGTACGTCAAAAGCCTAAACTGTCTCATTACCCATCATAGCGTGATTTATTACTGTTCAGGATTTTCGATATTAACCATGCGATTTATGAAATAGCGAAAATTATTTGACATGTAACAGGAGGAGGCATTATGAATATGGAATTCAATGAAATAAATAATATTACAGTTTTTTTTACATAAACATAAACATTATTTTGTGTAGTACATAATTTTTTGAATATTGCAGAGTAAGCATAGTTTTGTGCGTTGAAGGGATCGTAGCAGGTGTAACGCGTAGCTGGCAGTTTCAATAATATTAAATTGACTTACAACAGTATCGCTTACATATCAAAAATATAACGTGAAATATGTAATCGTTACTTTAGGGATAAAGAAATTTCGTAAGAAATTAATATTTTGCTATAAAGAATATTATGAAAAATTTTTGCTTTAAAATAACATTGTAAAAATAAACTGTACACAAAGGATACTCCTAAGATCTCGGAGTATTGTCGTCTTATCCACTACTCCTAAGGACCCAATTAAATTTTGAAGTGATATTACTGATATGCATAATATACGAATGTAGCTTTTTCCAATAATCCGATCTCATCCCCTTTGGTTGTTATTTTTCAAAAGCTAGTTCAGACTACAATTGTTAATTTATTAAATGAACTATAGTAAGCATACCTAATGAGGTATGTGAATTAAATTAAATTAACAAGTTTTAGTCAAGTTGGAAAATATTTTATTGTGTATCCTAATACAGTTTTTAATGATGAGATTGATATAAGAAATTTATGTAAAAATATACTGAACAAATTAAGAGATATTTTGGAAAAACTTAGTATAAGAACTAAATTTGAAAATCTAACAATATTTAAAAAAAAAATATTTACGAACCTTTAAAATATATCAAACTAATGCATAACTGCCAATATGAAATCCGATATTTATTCCACCCTAAGTACATTAGAAAATCCTGATTAAATTAAAATAAACAATAATAGTAAAATGAACAAGAAATGCTTTGTTATACTAAAATGCTTTGGTATTTATTCAGGCTTACATTGATAAATAAAATGAAATTGAAATGGATATTTGAATACTGCAAAAGTTATGAATTGAACCATAAATAAATTCATATCTTCTGTATAATATCACTACTGTCATTGTAAGAACGTTAAAGGAATTAGCAAATGTCTGTATGTTATCAGAAAGACAATGCTAAATCCGAATATACGCTTTTGATTCTTAATTGCTACCTTAAACTTGATAAATTATATTCATATAATATATAAGATTTCAATGAATTGAAAGATATAATGTTTTAAGAAAATTTATTATTTATAAGGATGTAATTTAACAATCGTTTTTAATTTATTACTTACACTTTTTATTTTTTAATCACGAAAAAGACAAGAAACTGTTAGACAACCTCACTCTAAATGGTCATAGTTGCTTGTAGAAGTCTAGAGATGTAGATTCAAAAGTGTATCGACTTTATTAACTATTTTGATTTAGGTTGGAACGGAGAGGAATACTTAGTATAGAAGATGACTGAGTTTCCAAACTCACTCATGGAACGAAACACAATTAGCTAACAAATACCCATCTTAGATAGAGGTTTACTATATTGGTCGAGTCAGACCAATAATAATAACAGACTCCCTCTCTAGAATATCTAGATATTATATGTTAGTGTTGCTACACAAGAGGTAAAAATCTTTCGACTGTTGGTTATACGATATTTTTACATTATTAATGTTTACATTTTATCAATGTTTTAACTCCAAAAAGGAAATCAGGAGTACAATAAAGGAGCGCTAGTAGAAATTTTAATCAGAATCTTCAACTAATACTTCGACGTATAAACATACTCCTTTCGATTATAAATATGGTTCAAACGATACATTCATTGTGTAGAGGGCTGTGTTGTCGTTGCTTTACGAACTATTCCTTCCAGGTCCCACAATAGAAGCTCACAGCACAATATAACATCGCTAGCTACTTTATCATATACAGCTATCACTACGCTGCATTCACTCAAGGCTTTACTCAAGTTCGATAGAAAACGTTGGAAGAAAAAGCCGTTACTCTTTGATGTATTCTTTACTTTCTATATATATTGGGATTCAAAAAACATATTCAATTTTAAATGACATTGTAGTCTGTAGTTCTAGAACATTATTGATATTTTAATTAATTATGAAATTTATTTACTATTTTACGGAGAAAACAATTGGAGCACGATAATTAATAATTCATTTGTGATATTTTGAAAAACGTTGCATTAAAACTATATTTTTTGTGATGAATTTCAAGCCTAAACAGGAATTTTGTTTTTGTTATAACAAAGTTGTATAGTACAGACCCTACATATACGAAACTGCTGCTTATTCTAGTAAAACGTCGATTTAAAAGGATATTATTAATTTCCTGTTCCAACGCCTCTCTAATATCATAAAATTACTAAGGAAATAAGATTTTAAGAAAAATATACAGAAAAACAATGTTTGCTCTTTTTGAAATAGTTCATAATTCGATTTTGCAACATTCGAATAAAATTACGTCAGTTCAAGTAAAAAAAAAAAACAATTTCAGTAACAATTAAAGATACAGTCAATAAAAATATTTAGCTTATTTTTTATATTTAAATTCAACTGAAAATACATGGATATATAACTTTCTGTCGTTTTGCTAATTTAAATATCGTGTCTTTACCAGAATCGACGATTTAAGCCTACTTTTCAGTTTAATTACCATGTTAGGAACTACCGTCTATTGGTCTAGAAAATTTTCATCGATATCTGTGATACCTTGGAAGTATTTATCTCCAGATATTTGAGATATTTGAAGAAATATATCAATACAGACAAAAGATTATAATTAAGTTTAAATCTGTAAATTATTTGAAGATCAGTATTTGCAAATAATTTCTCTAATATCTGCATACAATGAAGACATTTAGTAATTGTATTTTAATATAATAATATGATTGTAAAGATTAATTTTTAAACAGAAATTTTACAACATAAGAAATAATTACTTTTATGAGCTTACGAGAAATGAGTTTAATAGCCTGACAGCAACAAACAACAACATCTTATACTCGTAGAGCTTAAAAAAATTGCAATCATTATGGTATTCTATTAAATTGTCTAAAAATGATTTTTTTTTATTTCAGTCAAATATAACGTTATTTATTTTCTTTTTAATTTTTCATAATGTCAATTTGTAAGTGTGTCTATATATGATACTATATTGAAGGCAATTGGTAATAAAGTCGGTAGTACCCGACACTTGGTTAATGGATAAGTATTCTTAAAGCTAAAAAAGCTTTAAGTCAACATACGCTGCGCTTTGTTTTGAAATCGAACTTAAACCCTCAAAAGTAGCGTCGTCAACTCAACGGCTGTTCACGATGAATGAGTATTGAGCATCAAGAGGGTGCCACTTGGTTCACGCGGCGACGGTTTTACTAAACGTCTGTAATTCCATGTGAATATTATTTCGTAATGTTAGAATTTCTATTTCGGGTACGTTTAATTTAAAACCATTGTTGCCCCTACCCTCATTTCAACCCTACCACGTTATTATCATGGCCACTGAAGCCTAAATAGAGGCATACGTGTGTACGACATTTTGTAAATAATTAGTGTTGTTAAGTTACATACTATATAACACAATGAAACTTTTACATATGAAGTCGATTTTATGAAGTGTTCGCAATTCAATTAAGGTTAGGCGCAATAATGACTTTGCACATACTTTATGATTTTTAGTAACTAAGCCATGTGAACATAACAAAATCTGTACATGGAGCTTTTTTTATCTTTTACTGTAGTGTATGATTGAAATAAGCTAATACGTTTCAGGAAGAAAAAGATCAACTGTTGACAACCAACTGTTGGATAACCCAAATATGGACAGACCATCATTTACGGTGGAATGTAAGCGATTTTGATGGAATCAGCGTTATAAGAATACCATATGAAAGAGTCTGGAAGCCCGATATAATCTTATATAATAAGTAAGTTATACTTGTACACAATTTATACATTTATATTTTGTTTCTGAGTGTAACAGACCGGTGTAAAAGGAGGGGTTCGTAGCATATTGTGACAACATCAAATTTCTCCGTATCACTTTCGTAACACATTCTTGGCATTTTAGTAGAAAATTTTATTTTCGTCAGAGTGAAAGCAAAACTGATTCTAGAAATTGTGGTTATAGCTAGCTGTCTAGATGGACAAACAAGCTGGAACATGAAATCTAGTTTAATCAATTTATTGGTAAACATGCATAGAATTTAATATTTATCTAACGCCGACACGAATATGAGAAATATTTGATATATATATTTTTACACAGCAACTGAAATGTACATCGTTCTATGGGACTATTAAGTAAACAAAAAATACATTATAAAATAAAATCAATTACGATTTTGGTAGGTAATGAAAAACAAAGAGTGGAGATAAAAATAAAGGCTATTACTAACTGTAGGGATGCTAGTTGAAATGAAGCATTAAAACTAAATAACACTGACAGAATGCAATGATAAATTTAGTACAGTTTTCCGGATTAAATATTCACAACGGATAGTCTCCTTAACATTAACAAGAATGTATTGCGGTCTATACGAAATTAATGTGCAGTTAATATGTGCTCAGTACTGTTAAGAAATAAGTGATCATTACGAAAAAAGAGTCTGCAGGAATTTGAAAACATTTGTTATTGCTTTTGCTATTCGAAAGAAAAAACTGTTTTGATAGAGAGAAAAATGTTTTGTCACGTAACTAATATCAGTTACACTTCATAGAGAAATATCTAAATGTGACTTTAAAATGTTTATCAAGATCACAGATTGAGTCACTCCTTTAATTAACCATATCCTACATATGTATATACCGTAATTTTAAATAAAGTATTTAAGTATTTGAAGGATAATATAACGAATTACATCATTATTCAAACTAAGACATTGAATTTATATTTAAAGAACTAAGATTCCAAACATAAAATTATTAGGCTTGTAATATTTCAGCGCGGATCCTAACTACCGATCGGCTGTTATCAACACTAACGTCATAGTAAAAAACACTGGGGAGGTAACGTGGTTGAGCCACGGTATATATGTGTCCGTCTGCGACATCAACGTAGAACAATTCCCCTTTGATATTCAGCTCTGCACCATGAAGTGGGCTTCGTGGACCTACGACGGCTTTCAGGTAAATTTTTCAGAATTTTGAAACAAACAATTAAAACTGAAATTTATTTAGTTATAAAGGTTAAATGTTTTAATATATTTGCACTATAATATAAATATTTTATGTTGTTAATTAGGATAATTATTAATTATTTCACTCAATTAGTAATTATTTCCGACAAACACTTAAACATTTTAATTGAAATTGATCTGTATTTAAGCAGGAGAACAAACTAAAGTTTAGATAGAATAATCCCACTGTTGAAACTTCTCGGTTGAATAAAAGATATCGTGAATAAAATAAATTGAACTTCCATGATCCTTTTAAGCAGAAATTAATTATTTATTTTCAATAAAAGTTTACATACAAACAGACTATATTGATATTTTCATAGTACAACATGCTTCACACTACGGTAAAGTTAATATGTTCATAACTTAATTAAAATCTTAATTATAAACAATGCGTAATGTATTTCGTATCGAAATTCACAAGATATGATACATTCCACGTTTTGTTTTTTAATTTGTTTAAACTATAAAATATATTCCTCTACTCTCAAAAATCAGGCATATAATTCAGCAGTACAAGGAGTGTAATCAAATTTAAGAGTTAACTATAGACAATGAATTTTATATAAAACGAATACGTAAATATATTCGAATATACAAAAAATATATGTTACAGAAAATATATAAAAAACCTCATGTCTTTAAACGTGCTTTATTAGTGTCCATTTTAAAGTAATGAAACTCGATACTTATTTTACGGTACCATACCATATAAATTTTATAATTAATAATTCGTAAGATATAAAATTAATTTATAACAGGCTGTAAGTAATAATTTTTTCTTTAGATCATGCCATGTCTTATAAACTGTGGAGATAGAGTAAATTTATTACTTATTTATATACCTTTCATACAATTCGATACGATAATCACGATATCCATCATGGTACTATTTAATCTATACATACACCACCATTAAATAATTTACTATACTATATTATAATAAAATTTATTATTCCATTTATGCTCCGTTAATTGTTACAGCCTGTTGCAATCTTCAGTTAACCTGTGAATTCCAGTTTTGTAGGATTTCTCGTCTCTGGAGTGAAAATAGACAGTAACTACCTGGGAAACACTTTCAAAAGACTTTTATTTTCTATATAAATGAACAAAGTAGTACTTTCTTGTTGATGGATACTTGGTTTTGGAACTGTTCCTGTTGTTGGTTCAAAATCAAAAATTCCTTGAATATTTTTTAAATGCTACTTTTTATATCCAGTAATTAGCTTGTCCAAAAACGGCTTCAGATTGTGTCTCCGCTGTCTCTCCACTTTTTGTGTAAAGTTTCTCTCTGATCTCCACTTCTTGTATAATGCATACCGAACTCTTCTAAACTTTTCGACGTGTGAATTATTTTCAAACATCGATGGCAAAACGTCTTCATGTATCTTGGATGGTCGTAAACATCGCTCATTTTCTGGAGACCCCAGGAACGAAACATGTTAAACCATTTTTGACGAGTAGGAACATTTAAAATATCTTTCTCAAATATAGCCTATAAAGTTTAACATGCAACCGATACGTTGCTTTCTTTTTGGAATACATACAAAACGAAGAGTCGTTAATGCACTTTACCCACTGACATATTTTTATTTTATGTATAGGACCAACGGTAAAAAGGGCTCCTCTTATAATGACCTAAACTATATATAAGGCCTATAATTTATTTTTTCCATTTACAAGAATCTTTTTTTACCTTCTTTAAAATACAACAAAAAATTCACTCCAACCTTAGCAAATGCATTATTACAATGAATAGGAAGCTTTTAAAAAAGAAACAGAACAACATCAGTTTTCTTTTTAGTTTTAAAGTAGTTTACATGCAAAAGGTTTCAAAATAAAACTTTCTTCTTCATTAAGTAATAAGTTCTGAAATATTCATCGATTCTTGAGAACGAAATACTCCTAACTCTTATTTTATTAAGAAATAAAATAAAGATTGTTTCAATAGATATAACTTTATGATATCAAACCAAATATACGAAATTAACTTCAGCATTCGAAAAAAAGTTTTCATTTTCAGAAAAAAAATATTTGACCCATGATCTTTAAGTGGAGCAAGTATCTATAATAAATATGGTTGTTTGTTTGTAGGGTTACCTTTTCTCAAAAACAATTGTGTTTTAATTATTGATATTATATGTATTAAACTCTTTTAGTAAATCATATATTAAAATTTTGAATTATAAAGATATATATATAAAGTTTTTTGGTCTAAGTCATGATTTCGTAACAATATCACGAGAAAAAAAGTATTGAACTGATGTTATAACTGACTTCGTATTTAATCCTCCTTAGATTTACTACCAGATACTGAAAAAATATGCCGAACAAAGTCTTAAACTTGCCTAAAAATTAGGGTAATGAAAAATAATGTTCAGCTTTGCTTTTAATGGTCTTGGAAGTTGAGTCATGGACGATTTTAATTTGAAACCCAATTTTATTTTAAGTTACTTCATGCGAAAAAAGTGAAAATAAATGTAAAAACAGATTGCCTCCAGACAAATGACTGAAGAATTCGTTAAGACTTCAGAAAATAAATTAAACATGTGATGAATAAGTTTATTTTTTCGTAAAAAAATATTTTGATGTAAGGTTCAGCGATGCTGGTATGATTTGATAAGTGTTTTTAAATGGAACTTTAGATAAATATATATGAAATACATTACATCCAAAGACTTCAAATGGAAGAATACTATAATCCTCTCTTACGAATTATCTTTCAATTGACAAATTGCCTTTGAATTAGTAGTCACATTATTTTGTTTTTTTTTTTTTATTTTATCAATGTGTTTTACTAATATTTATTTTATCCATGTGTTTTACTGATGTTTATTTGGGAATGATGTAACATTAAAAAATATGCCGATATCTCCAGACCCAGTATTGTTTCCTCATCCGTGTTTAATTTTATCCAATTCTTATAATCCAAGAAAGATACCCATGTGATGTTATTGTAAAAACGACGGCTCTTACTCTTGAACTCGTTTTAAAGTTGTCGACAAATTTAAAAACTCTGTTTAAAGCTCTCTCCTATAACACAAAAGTAAAACTTGGTTCATGGGCCTTTTCACTTTTAATCTTAAAAAATGAGTTCTTTATTTTATAAATGACCTTGCTTTTTCCGAGAGAAAATAAATATTATATAAATTATTGAAACAGCCCAGATAAGTACAATTATAAATCATGATTCGAAAATAATTTTGTTAAACAGTAACATTTTTAATTAGAAATGAAATTAAGTTGAAAAGTGTAGTAGAATTGTTAAATAAAAGGAATGTGAATGAAATGATTTTAAAAAAATATATTTAAAAATCCTTAATATTAAGTAATATCAATTTATCTATAGCAGAACAGAACGAATAAAGATTTATTTATCTTCACTTTCTACGCTTCAGTCAGGATATATGTACGATATTTTATTTTATTGAAACTAAAATGTTTGAAAACATTCTTAAAATAATCCGATTGTACAACCGCAACACAAAAAGTCGTCTTCAATAACTAATATCCCGATAGAAAATATGTTTTGTAGAAATTGAATTCACAATATTCCATCATCCCGTTGTTTATTTCACTTCACTTCATTTCTATAATATTGTAGGATTTTGCAATATTCTGCAGTTAGAAAAGTTTTATTGTAAACCTAGAAGAGCCTGCAGTTTACGATGCTTAAATCAATGAAAAGAAGTTAATTCCACCGACTGAATTCATTTATATCAACCCACAATTAATAGGGCTTGTGGCTATTATAAAAACAGCTCATATTTAAAATTTTATGAAAAATCGAACGTTGATTCATGTAGAAAATTGGATCGAGTTTTTCAATAATCGGATTAAATATAAAACCATAAAATTGAAGTTATAAATGGTAACAACAACCATCCCCTGGTAATTATGGAACCAATTAAAAATAGAGGAAATTTTGCAATTTAACAGCTAGATCTACAAAAGCAATTCGATGAGGGAGACACTACAAACTATCAAACTAATGGTGAGTTTGATCTGGTGAGCTTCGACGCGATCAAACACAACCAATACTACTCATGTTGTGTGGAGCCTTACCCAGACATTACCTACGTCATCAAACTACGAAGGAGGCCTATGTTCTACGTCTTCAACCTAATACTTCCTTGTCTTCTTATTAATGGCATTGGTAAGTTTTCTTTTCTTGTACATCTCATCTTACCTGCTCATTGAAGATATATTATATAATTGAATCCTTAGGAATATGATATATAAAAATCTTTATAATTGCGAGCTCTGTATCTAAATTACAATATGCAAGGAATAAAACAATAAACACATGAACAGACAATGTTGTAACTACAGAAATGTATTTTTAACTAGTTTTCCACATCTCTTAAATTTTGTGTAACAATTGTCCTGCTCACGTATTAATATTGATTCTACTGTTGTTACTGCTTGTATTCTTTTCTTGATCTGCCTTTGTTTTGCATTTCACCGTAAAATTGCCCATGGTGAAATAATTATCCTTAATTTTTGTATCATATTTCCAACTGTTGGCTGCAGATGACGGTATAACGGAAGTCTTTAACTTTGAGCAATGAAGGCACTTTATACACTTAGAAACAAAAGATGGTTTAATAAGAAATGAATGAGAATAATTTATAACACAAGTTACGTGAATTAAAAAAAAAAGTTTTATAATTTCATGAAATTAAATTAGTACATATATTTAGATTAAGAAAAATAACTTCTTTTTATTCAATCTCATCTACTGTGTTATTAATAATTGGATCAAATAATATGATCAAATCCTTTTCGTGAATTTGTTAGACACCCCAAAAAATACACATTATTTTTAAAAGGGTTTATTTAGGCATTCTTACGAACGATGGAATTTAATCGAGATTCGACACCTCTACGAAGATTCAATCATCTTACATAAATATTTTCTTCAACCTTTTCTGGTCACAGTTTAAGTATTTTTTACGTGAAGTCTAGTATTTTTCTTTTTTAAATTAAAATTGTTGAATAAAATGTTCTGGTAAAAAGATAATGTTTTATGTAAATACATCAAATTTTGTATATCACTTTTAAAAATATTTAGAAACAACGATTTTTTTTTTTGTTACAGCACTCTTAGTATTTTACGTGCCATCGGAGTCCGGGGAAAAAGTCACACTGGGAATTAGCGCGCTTCTTTCGATGACAGTATTTCTTATGACAATTAGAGATACGCTGCCTCCAACTGAAAAAACACCATTAATAAGTATGATTCCATTTTCATCAACATTGAGTTGTGACCAAATACAAAAGTAAATTATAATCCCTTTATAGCTAAGTTATTCGAAGAAAACAAAAATGAAATCGGAAAAATCCTTTGAAATTACTTTCAGTAAATCAATTCGGTACTAAAATGTTGTCGTTCTTTGCGTATAAATAGACAGAATTATCCAGGTTTCACCTTTATTTTGTCAGAAAAACTGTTTTATTTTAGGTTTATATTATGGAGTAAGTACGTGTCTGGTGTCATTCTCAGCCTCTCTGTCGGTCGTCACTCTTAATATATCTTACAGGCAAGTAACTTGAAACCAGCATTTATTTTATATTCATAATTTATTAAGAATGAAAAAATATTATATTTTATGAGATTGCAGAGGAAAAGTGATAGATATTATTATTTTATAAAAAAATATTTGTATGTTTTTAATACGACTTATCACGATATAATAAATATAAGCTGATATTGTTAGTACGATAATTTAAGGTAGGTATACTCGTATGTGCAAATATCAATTAAAAGATGTTGAGTTGACACAAATGAAAAATCAAGACTGAATAACAGTTTTATAACCCCAAAATATTCCTAAATAATAATTCTTGCATTGAGATACAAATTGCTATTAAAGTACAGAAGTAAAGACAAGTGATGTTGTTCGTAGAGGAGTGAGAGGGCAGCCGGTGCCGGCGATCGTACGTGAGCTCGTATTGCAGAGGCTGGCTCGCCTACTTTGCATAAACTTCGATACTGACGTCAAGGTAAAACAATGCAAAATTACATACACACACATTGACATAAACTTCTATAGAAACATGTCTCTTATATTCGAATAAATTACATGCAACAACCAAATAAACATTCAAGTTTACAAACATTTCAATCACGAATGCTCGTTTTGTGAACATATTTACAGGACCGAATAGTTAATTATAATTTTTTAACATTGTATGATTCTGCATTTTCTAATAATCCTGTAGATTCTATAAAACTTACAGCCTTAGAAATGCTTCTCCCAAACATAATACGCACGTGCGAAATTTAAGTGATCTATTTGAATTTTGAAAGAGTTCGGAACCGTGAGTCCTATCCAATCACAAGTTTTAGGCCCAAAGGCATTCACATTCCATGTTAATGATATAAGCGAAACCCGACACGATCGATAAAGTTGTCGCTTTTGGGAAATGCCAAATTTGTTTTAAGCCACGGAGGCTTAACTTCATTTAGTGTTACAAGATTCATTCATCTAAAAACTTCAATTAAATTGAACAAAAATGTATAGAAATCTGTTAAAATATGTTAAATATTACTTTTTCTACTTAATTATTCTCGCCTCTTTGAAAAATGGTATTAAGAGTAAATAAAAAATTAAGTATATCAAAGGTTTTCTAAACAAAACTTTAAATATCATAATGAAAATCAAAATGTATTTTCTATGATGAAGTCATACAGCTGAGAGCAATTACTTTTCTATTTTTCATACTCTACTCTGATGTTTTCAATTTGAACCGTTTAGTTATTTTACTCATAATTTCTCACTTTAAGGGATTTGATAAAGTAACGTCAATCAGTTATCTGACGGATGAAATTCTAAATGAGATTTCAAATATGGAAATGAGTTTCTGAACTTAAATTCGGGAGTGAAAAAAATTATTATACATTGAGTTGTAAAGTTTCAGAATTGATTGGTTAATATAAAACGTAGTTGTAAACTCAGTAATGTTGTTATGCGAACTTGGATTAAAAATTTTGATGTCAATCTGATTTATAAGTTTTAGCTAAGATAGCCTACTTAGAAGAAACCAGAAATTTATGAAATTCTATAGAACATTGAGATATTTACAAATTGCTGTTTAAAAGTGAAGTTTCAATAGAATAGATATACATATATGAAGTAAGAATAAAGCATATAACATATTCGTATAGCAAGGTGTATTATACATAAGTTGTTTTTCTTTTTGTAATGTCAAGTGTGTTGTATACAGAATACATATTCTTTTACTATAAGAAAAAATATAACTACTATTTTCTATTGAGCTCATACAGACGAGAGGATAATAACGTCGTAACTAATTAAAAGACTTTTGTATATTACAACATTTATGTATATAATTTGTATCAGAATGACAGCACAGTTACTACAGGGGTGCAAGTGAACCCTCGTACAGGGTCGCGGCTGAAGGCCGAGATATTAGATGGACCAGCCCCTGCCTCTCCACGCTTTACCAGGAACCACAACCATCTCAGTGAGTTATTACGAAACACACGATTATTTTTAATACTCATTATTGATTCGTAAGGTTTCCTATATTTGTCTCATTCTTCCTTAAAAAATACATAGTTGATCAAAGATTATCATAATTCATGAGTAATAAAAAATGATACTCGGAGTATCTGCTGCAAAAAGAAAAATTATCAAAATGTAACTGCTCTGTGAAATAGTTTACGTGATTTGAACTTAATAAATATTTGGAAATTCGTCAATTTATATAAATACATATGTTTATTCACGAGGTTCTGTACAAACTGATGGCGAAACATCTACATCTCTGTCATAAATGTAATGGAGAAGTTGAATTCTGTGTCATTATTGTATGGAATCCATCTTAGTAACTAATGGTTGAGTTGCTGTTTGTGTTTAATTACTTGACGACACCGCGTACAATTAAGGGATGAATAAATGATAAATTATAATGTTTATCTCCTAATAAATTCATTTCGCTTTCAAGCATATATATATCGTTTATATGATAATTGTATAATCATTACACCTTCAATAATATTTTTATTTGCGTTTATGAACCTGTCATTAATTAATGGAATGTAAACCTATAGTGTTTTTCTAAAAACAATCCTCTTACCGTTTAAAAAATCTCTTACGTAAATAAATATATAATAAGTTGTTTTTTTATTTTTTTATTTTCTACAAACTATACAGCTTGTATTATATACCCCTTGATGAAATTTAAAGTTACAAACATTCCTAACTGTTAATGAGAACAATTGAAACATCGTTATTTCGACATCGCTTTCAATTTTAATTGACGCTCACAGTTTTAGTTAACTTTCGTTACAATTATATAAATAAACATTACAGCGAATGTGTTGTTAGCATAAACCGTGCCAATTAAATGTTAAACTTTTGTTCAAAATAATGTTCGTGACACACAACGCTATCACTATTCGGAAGTTCTACGAAAATTCTGGACAATAATTTTCTATAGATTTTAATTTTGTGAAAACTGCAAGTAAATATCATTAGCTTTTATTTGATTATTTGTATTTAAATTTTTTTTTTATTTAAACAGTAAGTTCTAAGAAGAATTTAAATTAACAGTGAAATATAATATAGGAAACAAAATTAACTTTTTATATAAAATAATGATAACTAGATCGCGCAAGCTTGAGTGGAGTGTCGGGTACAGTGGGAGGTCAGGTCGGAGGGTCTATGGGTACAATAGGGAGCAACGTTGGGGGACCAATAGGAGGAGAGACCGTGGTGTGTACAGGAAATTGTCAACGATGCACGTGCTGTGGCTGCACACTGAAAGAGGCTGCCGCAAGACACGAACAACGTGTAGCTGCTAACGAGCGCCTGGAACGTGCTAATCTTGAATGGAAACAGGTGATTTGATATTTCCGTTTTTCTTTGCTCACAATTGTTCAACTAATATTTTCCTTTCTTTAAGCTTCAATTTTCGAATATTTGTTTTTTGGTCGTGGTTTCAAGTATTACTTCTACGTAATTCAATCTATAAGGATTACCAGTTGTGGCCATAGTGACGAAAGTTTTCGTTAAGAGCGAAACAAAATAAAGTAGGTACTTCTCAGAACGGTATTGGCTGTATTTACAAGTGTCTTCAAATCAGTTTTTATCATATTCGAGATGCAACTTTTTACTGATATAAGGATTTAATATTTTTCTTTTGTATGTTTTGAGTGTATACGATTTAATTTACAATATTAATATTCAGCACTATTATAGCTCTTTAGCACTGAAATTCATAAAGAATCTGTTTTTCTTTTTAAATAGGTTGTTTTCGGCGGTTTTTAAGTAATATTTTAAAATCGTGGATCAAACAGCCATGTCTAATAATAACCAATAGCCATTTCCAATATATTGGATAAAACAATTTCTCTTTACTTGTGAAAACTCTCCTTACGTAACCTTAAACAAGATTTTTGTTCATAGCCAAAGCCATATTCGAGAGCTGGTATTATTATTAAGTTGTTATATATATAATAATATTTGAAAAACGATATTTTTACAAGAATTAAACAAGATAAATGACGGATTTTTGGATTGTTTCCATTTATAGTGAATAACACACCACTAAATAGAACATACATATAATATAACATACTCTAATTTATCAAAGATATATTGTTCATTTTGTGTTTTAAAAACTTTTTTTTATGTTATTCTAGTTATGGACATTTTTAAGAAGTACTTCATCCATTGTATTATCCATTTGAATGTAAAAGGCACTTTGAAGCCCAGATAAGCAACCGAAGACATATTTATAAACAATAATAACATAATTAGAAAATACATTCACATAATTTTTGTTATGTTATAAAAGAAAATGATTCCTATTCTAAGCATATTGACACAAATTAGTGCTTTGCGACTGTAATTCTTTTAATAGTTTCTTTCTTTAGGTGGCGGTTGTAGCAGACCGCGCTCTTCTTGCAGTATTTGTGCTTGTAACAACAATATCCACAGCTGCTATTCTCTTACCTCAACTAAACAATCTACACGTAGGTAATACGCCATTAAAACCACCTTCCTAGATATAAATAAATGAACCCAGAAGAAATGAGTCTGACCGTAAACCAACGAAATAATTAAAATATTGAAACATATATATTGTATACATATTACTTTTTTAATTTTCTTAGCTTTATCTACAATTTTTTTCATCCATGACTTCTATAAATAAATAAATAATAATGTTCTTACTGCAAATTTATGTAGATAAATGTCTAGAGCTCCATTCATTGTATGTCAGAACTTGCGAAAACACTACGGATATATTACTCAAATGTTAAAGAGATGAAGACAGTGAGTACTTGTAAAGGTGTGCCAAAATGATACAGGCTTTTAATATGTAAGTTAGATATTTAATACTAAGCGGCATTTATTATTTGTTAACATATTTTTAGTTATAATATCGATGTCAATTTTATTGAATCAAATTGTTAAATATGTGCTGAAAGTAGTATAGTGATATGTAAAAAGGTTTCAAAACGATCTCAGAATGAAAATGTGTATTAAGATTGAATGGAACTGGGAAAGAAAGGAAACGGTAACTTTTATATATTATATGTAAAAGTGACCTAAGTTTCTGTTGATGTCAATATTGAAATCAATATTTAGGATGCATTGTGTTAACGATTTTAAATGAAATATTATAATTAATAATTATTATTATAATTAAACTAAACGCTCAAGATGTTGTTGGAGTACAATTTATGTAAATATATTGTAACTTTAATAAGAATAATTGTAATATAGTAATAATTAAATTGTTTATCATGTAACGCATCGTTTTATTTTGCTATTATGAGCTTTGATATTTTTTTTTATTATAGTGTTCGAAGTTTTTCTAAATGTTGTTTTTGCTCATTTTAACTAAAATGAAAGTTTTCATAAAATCATCAGAAATTTATATCCGAGGACACCAGGAAAAGGTATTACTATTATAACTCTACATGAGTTTGAGGCAAACAATTTCATACGTCTGTATTTTTTAAACCTGTAGTTTTTCTATAGCACGTAATTTACATGAAAGGGGATCCCTTAACTGAACTTCAATATTTGGACACATTGTTAAATCCAGTCCCAGTAAGTAGATCAAATATGTTTTTAGCACTCTTATGAAGTATTGTATCAGTTAAATTAAAAATAAGTATAATTTTTACGCAATGTTTGCTTCAAAATAGTAACAATGAAACTGTAATCCGATATTTTTAATTAGCTTACTTTTAAATTTGTGAAAATATGGATAATTGTGGCTGTAAGCTTTTATAAAACACATCATAAAGAGAATCGATTGCTAAGCAGAGTTAGTTATAGACTTTAACACTATGCAAGTATTACTTTGATCATGATCGTATCTTGATATAGAACAAACAAAGAGAAGCATCATTAGAGTGCAACAAAATATTACTTGAATTTATTTTTTATTTTGTTTTATAGTTTATAACATTACTTTTATTTAAGTTTAAATAATCTTATTATAAATAATTTTAATGTACATTAATATATATAAGATAAGAAATGTTGATAGAAAAAAAACAAGTTGAATAAAAGGTAAAAATTCATAAGAGTTTATTATTATTTTAATATCATACTCCATCCATGTTGCTATGAAGGTGAACGACGATAATTTAATTAATCAATCTGTAGCTGAATCACTTAAAGCATACCAAATAGCTCAAACACAATACATTTAATGTACATTGCTAAGATTATGAAAGAGGTATCTGGAAGATCCTGTGCTATGCTGCGGCAGCATCACGACAAAGTCATAACTGTAATTCTATATCTTAGATTAAGTTTTTCACGAAAAGAGTGGTTCTCATGCTTTTATTATCAGAAATATGAGCATCTACAAAACCGTTCCAATTTGATATTTTATTAATCGAATATCTAAATATGTTACTAAAATATTTAATTTTCCAATAAAAGATTATAATTCATCTGTTTGGACTCCAGAATATCATTAACAGACTTGCAATATTTAAATCCACTACACAATATACGAATTAAACATTTGAAATCACAAGGTAATCATGAGTTAATTACAAACACTATGTACTTAAAAACATCTTCCTTTATTTATATAGAAAGAATGTACAACTTTTGTCTATAAAAACAACTTCAGTTTCATTATGAAGCCGTAGTAAAGTTGTAGTCGTAAGGTGTTAAAGGTGTTATGAATTTTACAACAATTATTCTTTCTGTTCAATTTGACACTGTCCTCAGTTGAGAGTATGAAAAATGTAACATGTACCATTTTTCACATTTTTAAATTATAACCATAAAGCATAAAATAAACTTCTAGTTTATTTTATTACCTTTTACCTTTTACAATACCTGAATAGAATCTGACTATTATGTAGAAGTAAAATTTAATAAAAATAAAATCATTGATTATTATGTGACAGATTTTATGTACTCTTTTATATTTTCCTATTAATCACATGGTAGAGAAGTTACTGACTTATTTTGACGTCAAAATGATTTAAAGTCTTCATTAGGTAAAATTTAATTTCACATTTCATAAGAATTGAATTTCAGCTTACTGTCAAAGAGAAGTACAGAAATGATGCGTGGATCTCTATGCTGTCATACATGCGGGTCGGACTGAGAAGCTTTGTATTTGAAGTTTAGAGTTGAAATTAAGTAAGATTTGCTTAAGTAAAACTAAGGACTATATACAATTTACAAATATTTTTATATCTCACTATGAAAACACTAATATAAATCATATTAATACCCTAATTAAACATGTGTCACTGCTATTATTTACCATATATATAAATTGATGTGTATATATATATAACAATTTTCTTCTAGTCAATATTACAGTTATGTATAAAATGACACGGCACTAGCTATGTTAGAACAAAGTATAACAAAGAACAGCTTTTATAAATTACTAGCTTTTGCCGCGGCTTCGTCCGCGTGGAATAGTTACTTCCGACAGATTTTTGGTTCTTCCCACATATGTAGTTCCCGTTCTTGCGGGGTTTTCGGAATGGTCGAGTTCCCGTAGAATTTTCAGGATGAAACCTATGTTTTTTTTTTATTAATAATGAAGTACTCTTAACCAACAACATATTTATTTGTTTATATGAATAAAGATTAATATTATTATTTTGATACAACTTAAACAAATTATTTCGACAAAATTAGGTACCATAATAACGATTTTTGTGAGTTAATCTTAAAAGATAGACATATTCTGTCGCGGACTGTTTTTTAAATCATCAAAAGAGCTGTTATTCTTTAATACATATTTTTGTGTATCTTGAACCGTTTTCACGGCGCACGCAACGGAAGACTTCAAAGATGAAATAATTTCTCCCGTTTTCTACACATTTACCACTTTATCTTTGCTCCTATTGGTTGTAGCGTGATGTTATATAGCTCACAGCCTTTCTCGATAACTGGACTATCCAACACAAAAAGAATTATTCAATTCGAACCAGTAGTTTCGGAGATTGGCGCTTTCAAACAAACAAACAAACAAACAAACTCGTCAGCTTTATAATATTAGTATAGATTCATAAGAATTAATCTTAATGCATCTGACTAATTTAAAATCTACTAGATGTACCTAATCCTTTTCATTAGAATACATACTTGAAGTCATTAAAATGCAAACTTTATTTAATTTTTACGTAATAACCTTGCTCGCTAAAAAACATTTTAAACTCCAATTTATGAATGTGTGTTAAAAAAACTAAATCATACCCATTGTCATAATAAATTATATTTTATATGACAGACAGAAAAATAATTTTAGTAACGAAATTGTTAGGATTTATTTTGATTATTTTTCATTTTAATTGTTTTATCTTAAAATTTAAATTTTGTCATAGAAATGTTATTTAAAAATAGCTTAAAAGCGTAACATTCCTACTTTGTTTTGGTTGCTTTTAGTAGTTATAATTTGGCCTGATGTAAATAGCTGTGCATGTTTGTTGATTGTGGAAGCAGTTTGAGGAGACAGCTCTAGTGCTTGACAATGTGAAATTTTCACTGGACCAAAATACACATGAGCTAAATTTATATAAAATTTTAATAAGCTTGTATAGGAAGTATATTTCATCTTTGTTTTACTATCCAATTTTCAATACTAACTACACATTCCTTTTGGATTATTGTTTTAACTCTTCTTCTTCTTCTTCCTGGCAATTTCCCAGCTTTAGCCAGGGTCTGCCAAAGGATTTTTTTTCTAAACTATAACTGTAAATTATTTTTTTTTAATTTATCGTGCTTTTTGATAAATGTATATATTTTGACAAGATAGCGGAGTATTCATAACTTTGAATTGTTAGATAATTCACTTTAAATAAATTTTAATTATTTAATTACTAACGTCGACAGAAAATAAAACTTAAAAGATTTAAATTGTAATATTAAGAAATAAAATCTCTAAGCAAACAATATTTTGTTGCTTCTTATGAAAAACAAATTAAACTGAGAAGAAGTCATGTTGAATCACTTGATATGCAGATCTTTTTGACATTAAAATGCTATGTATGTAGAAATCCGTGTACAAAGTTGCAATAATTTTATTACTTCGTGGATATAAAGCGTCAGGGTGCTGTAAGCCTGTGTAACTGATTATTTAACAGAAACATTAAACTTTAAATATTTTATTTGTATGTTTATTGGTAGCAAAAAATATATCAGAATATATACACTTTGCATAAAGCAAATCTATTGCAAAAGGTTTTAAATATAAACAAAATAAGTTAGCCTATTTTATTTAAATAATAATTACGACCTTCGTGATTAAAAAACCGCAAGATTATCTAACTTTAAGATATAAACAATAATTCGTTTTGAATATAAAGAGAACCCTCGCATTCTTAATGTTTGTATCGTAAAGATTGATTTTGATATCCACCAAAAAATAATAATGATTTTAAAATTCAAATGAATGCTTCAAAATACAATATAATTTCGCAATTTCTTTCCGTTGGCTATAAATCTATGTCTTCGTTCCAAGCTCAGCAAATTTAGCACAAGAAAGAAAAATCACGATATTATAAGGAAAAAAATATCTACAAGGTGCAGATTTTGCAAGAAATATTGTTCTTATTGGATTTATCGTCAAGTTCTGTGATAATCCATAATAGTTTTATAATAAATGCTACCAAGTTGTGTAGAAAAACATTTTTCCACTTGAAAAAAAAAAGTTCAATAGTTAAGGGCGTTGCATTTTTGCTTCCTAATAAGTGGTCAAATAAATTTTTTACAAAAAATTTTAACCTTATTTTAAAGTGATCGGTGTACTGATGTTAATTATTATAATCTTATAAAATACTATATTATGTTATTGTTATTAATTTAATTTCACTCAATTTTGGTTTATCATCGTTCGTTTAAATAATTTCAAATATATATTTATCCTTTGTCATTGTTTTCATTTAAGACATCGTAATTTTATATAATAACATAAATGTTTATAATAAAAAGTTTTTTAATAATACACCAGAATGGTGTTTTGAGAAAGTTGTTACAAACATGATTATACGCTAAGAGATTATACATAGCTACTTTTCGTGACTTGAAAGCGTTTTTAAAACATTTTTAATAAAACCTAATATTCTTTAAAATTGATCATAAGAAATTTCCATTTCGTTAATACACGTTTTTAATATTGACTATTATAAAAAATGCGGAACATTATTTTTTAGCAGGCTTTATATTCAGTGATTTTGCTATTAGGGGAAATGATAAATACAATAGGCACTGTACTCTGCCCAAAATGTACGTTATTAATTATAGAAATCAAGTGAAATATCTCATTCATTTCTCAGATTAAACGAGAACAATTCATTCTACCGTCTTCATCAGGATCTTGATAAGAGCCATTAAACAAATATTAATGTAGCGTTACTGAGAGAACTCACCTTATTTGTATTTGCTTTTATATGATGTACACAGGTTCTTAAGATTCTTAAGCAATCCTTAAACGAAACTGAAAACAAGAGGTATCGTGACATGGACACAATCTTATATATACATATGCAAAAAGTTTGTCTAAAGTCCAAAGTAAATATAAACTTTCAGAAACATTATATAAACTGTTTTGATTAAAAATATTTCTTCAGTGAGAAATTTAACAGAATATGAAATTAAACATATTGAAAAATATCATATATAAAATTCAGTAATGACTAACACAAGACGAGTGCCAGTCTCGTCAGCGCAGTTATTGTGTTTAACTGAATGAACATTTCAGACCAGATGGTGTACGATGGAATTTAATTACTGGAATATAAAGGAATATTTAAATAATTTTGTGCTCACATTTGTCGAATGGAATTACTAATGTCCTGAAAAGCTTTGAGTATTCGAAATAATAATACTGTCCGTGGGTTTGAGTTTTTCGGGCAAAAAAAAGGTGTTAATAAATATTAAACCTTAAGTATAATTTCCTCGTTACGTTGTTTACGAGAAATTTCTTTGGTTATGATAAAAACATGTTGATGTAGATCATAAATTTGAAGGTTCTCGTAGCTAAATAACTAGTATTATAATGTGTTTCATATTAATGAAGTCGATTTATATAGTTTGACTGTAAATTTGTATCAAAATTCATGAACGTTACCGACAAGCTCCCGTTTTCGATATAGTATGAAGTATTGTTTGCCGGCGTTTATTAATTTTAAAGTTTGGCTCGTAATTACTTGTTACTGATATCTATACTTCAAGCTATTTATTATATATTTATTAGCAATTATAACAAAAGGAAAATTTCGTTCATAAAGTATTTTGAAATGATATCTTGATTTGTAATTTGTATATCATGTAACTTGTCTAAATCTCTTAACATTATTATTAAATACCTACTGCTTACAGATATTGTCAAGGAAAAGTTCTCATAAAAAATAAAATTATTAAAAGTTTTTTTGGGCCCATCTTGGTCCCATTCATATAGCTACGTTCATATTCGAAGGACTAATTAGGAAATAAAAATATAATGATAATATTTAAGTAATAAGTATAATGATATTAAAACTCTGTATCTGCATATATGTTAAATAATCTTTTATTATATGTAGTAATTTGTAATTATTATTATTTAAATCCATTACAAGTCTTATTTTACACAACCTATATATTAAGAACTTGAAAGAGGTAAATAAAATTTATCACTAATCTAAACATATTGTGAATGTAATAAATAAATACCCTTTTAACTAGTTAAAGCAGAAAAAATTGTCTAAAAGTTATTGAGCAAAATTACCGCTCCGAACAACAGCTCATTGATGAGCAAAATGGAACATAACACTGGTTTGAAGAGTTATAAGCGACGATTTATAAGTAACAATTTAAAACGTACTAATTCTGACCGTGCTTTCCGACACGATGAAATTTAGCTAGCATCTTTAATTGCTTCTCTTCCATGTATGTATAATAAAACAATAAGTTATACGAAACAACAGGTGATATTCAGAAACCGAACAACTTCGTCCCTTTTAGACAGACGAGTAATAATATTAAAACCAATAATAATTCGTTTTTGACAAAGACAAAGAGACTTTCATGTTTGATGACTTTGACCTTTACGTAATGAAATTTAAGGAAATTGATCTGTTTTAAATAATTGCTTTAATTGATTTGTCTTGAGAGCGAGTCATATTTTAAACAAATTTGTGTTAGAAAATTTTATTTGGCAAATAATAGTAAAATATTATCTCAAATATTGTTTTGTGAAGTCTTATAAAACGGCAATTATTCGAAAAAACAATGAGTTTCTGATTCCAACGATAATTATTTGGATGACTAATTTCAATAAATTCTTTTAAAAGTTGTAACTTCATATTAGTATATGAAGGATATAGTTATCCCTATCAGGACTGAATGTCAAGGTGGTGGATTGTTAGATGTTGGTATTTTTTATAATTAGAGGACTTTACACCTTGTTTAAGATCTAGTAGAGCTAGTTCAATAAAAACAACAGACTGCCCATTGCCTATTGTTCCAGGCCAACGCTTACGGAAACTGTAGAAGAATATAATTTCCTCTTTCGATCTCAAGACTCGTTGCTGAGACATTAGGACCTATTTCTAAATACAATGTCAGTCTTGTTCAGTTTTATTAGTATTGTTAAGGGTAATATTTGTTATTAATACTTTAAACTAAAAAAATAGAATATCAAATGACAAATATTTTATTCAAAAACAAAAAACTCTTTAGTTATAAATTACAAAAACTAAAAATAAAAACATTATCTTTCTCGTGTAAAAAATAAGAAAATAAATGACTACAATAAAAATCCTGAAAGGTTGGAAAAGTTATTAAATTATTAAACCTCCGGAATTCTCTCCGGATATCGTCCGGGTATGTAATTCGGATTATTAGGATTATACTCCCATATCAGATACTCTGGCTCATTGAGGTACAGCGGTGGAATTTCATCACTCGCCTCTGTCTCCTGGCCTACTAGCTTTTTATTTCTCTCCAAAAGCTCGTTCACTCTCGCCTGCGTCTCATCAGAAATGTCTAGAATGATGCTCACAACATAGAAATCATAAAAGCAGTGAACAGAATTAATATTTTCAATACATTAGTATAGGACAAATTGTCCTCGTCATACTTACGTGTACAACGCAAATCGATTTTCAAAATCTTTTTATTTACTTCCAAAACACGTAACAGAGTATCCTCTGCCTCGCCAGATAAATTATTGGCAGCCATATCCAATCTAGTCAAACCACGGTTGAGACTTAGTAAGCCGGCCATCTAAAAAAACAACGAATCTTTGTATATAAAAGCAAATTCAATGTGTTAAAACTAGTTAACTTCGCATTTTTAATTATACACAAAACACATCACACTTTCTAGTTTCATAACACTTTATTGGCAGCAAAGGGAGCTTTTACAATAAATTTTGTGTTATAGTGGTTATAGCAGACAATACCAGTGACCTAATGGATTAAAATGGGTCATTTGATCATGGGGATCACAGAATGTAAAACGTATATAACTTGTATATTCTGAATAAAGCATCAACTTACATACATATTTTTAATTATAATACTGTACGATTGTTATTGTAATGTTAAGTTAAAGAATAAGTAAAACTGATAAAGACAAAAACGCAAACTTTCGTACTCAAAAATTTAAAAATTCACTTCATTTACTCCCGCATAAAAACACTCTTAATTTTTTTTTTTGCACACGTATAATGTACATATATTGAAATTCCTACTTGTAACAAGTAAATCGCGAAATATCTCGTAGAACAGTCCTCGTCCAGAGTCATAACGTATGGATGGATTATAAACTGTGTACCTTTTCAGCGGATTTTCCGCGGAATCCGCAAGAATTTACTATTAGAGTCTGAGGTTTCTCCTTACACCTCACAAAAGCGGCCGCAAAGATGGTTGCGCATTCCAAGGACATAGGATTCAAACTGAAATCTTTATAATGTATATATTAAAAGAAATTCCACACTATACTATACTAAAACTATATTAAACTTAATCTTAAATACTCTAATAGTATTTTACCAATCAATTCAATAGGAGCAGCTGGCTTCATCTGTAGAGCGTATGCAATACCTTGAACGCCAGCTTCTTTGAATCTGTTGTTAGCTATTCTTACTCGCCTCACGTTTTTGTGTATGTAAATAAATCCTCCTAAAGCCTTCATACCATAATCTCCAATCTTGCAGTGATTAAAGTCTAATTCTTCGATTGTTTCCTTTTTCACAAGGTTTTGTAATATTACTTTTACTTTGGAACAGTCTAAATTACTCCGGTTAATGCGAAACGTGGCTAGATGATTTAAATATTCAAGTCCTCTGCACATAGACTCACAATCTGCTATAGAAAACTCGAAATATCTAGTCAAATAATTGTCCTCTAGATTGTTTATACCAAAAATAAGAGAAATTTCTTTAAGATTGTATAGTCTACAGAGAACTGGTTCTAAAGGTATGTGATCGTAGACTTTAGGTACGCTAAATTCGCAAGTGTCTTCAACTAAATGTTCATATGGTATAGAGGGTGTGGGCTGTCGAACCATTTGCAATTGATTCAAGCTCAGCTCAAAAATATATGGACTAACCTGAAAACAATTTGGTAATTAAATGAAACCAATATTATTCAGATTACTATTCGTATTTAACAATTATTATTTTTTCAATCTCATCTCATCTGCCCGTGATCACGTTTGCTGAAAAGTAACCGAAACGTCGGGAGTATGCAATTTTTTTAAATAATAAAATACGCGTAGTTATCCGAACAATATTACTTTAATTTCAATGAATACTAACGAAAGTCTTCGATCTCATTAATTTAGCAACTAATAGGGATTTTGATGGAGATGAAACCTATAAATAAATTAGTACCAATCTTGCTAATATAACTGCATCTTCTTCAATAAAGACGTCGGGGTTAACATTTTCCAAATAGTCTTGTAGGCAGGCGGATAAAAATTTGCCTTTCCAGAAAGTTACCCCCATTTCCTTGCGCGATGGGAATTTGGAATAGAATGATCGCTTCCAATATTGTTCATCCTAAAAAAAATTGATCGAGTGAAAGATAATTATCACGACTCGTTTTTTTTAATAAATTTGTAACAAATATCTTCTGGTTACGTTATCTTCATATTGCTTCTTCTAAGAGAAGATCGCTTCATTATTATCATTAGATCATACTCCATTACTATTTAAAATGTATCCAACCTCTTTACAAATCGTCATTTTATATCCAACATCACCAACCACTCATTCATTCACACATATACCTGCAAATTCTTATATTTCCTATACGAGTGTACTAATCTTACCTTAATATACGGTACGCTATACTTAAGGGGTATATCAGCGAGATACAAATCCATAAGCATATCGACGTCCTTTTGCAATATTCTCTGCAGCGGATTTATTCTATGAAATACTCTAGAAAGCGAAAGTGCGGCAAAGAATGTGAGAGGCGCTGGAGTAAAGTCGTCGTCCCATTCGAAATCTTCAGCTACAATTTTTCGCGGAGCCTCCCCGGGGGAGGTTTTCATGGTTTGCCATGTGCTATAGGCCTCCCGCGTATTCAGTGACACAACATATGGGATTTTCATTTTTGTAACCTTTCTATTTTCTCTATAAGTATATTTTTTATATTTTGTCAAATTCGAACAATATCCAGGTACATTAAAATATTATGTACGTCATTTTGACGTCAATATGACCGGTATGTTTTATATGATGTCATAAACACATTATCTTATACTCCAAAAAAGGTTTAACGGATTTTAACACTTCCCACATCGTAGATAATTTAGATCTGAGTTGTAGTTAATTTGCTGATTGCTTACGTTTTTGGAGCTTTTTGTATTACCACTGAAGACTTCACAGACAAGAGGAAAATGTACAAAGCTCTAAGTACCATTAAATAATATTGTAATAACTTTTTCTACTTTACGTTTATTTTATTTTACTCTTTATTTTGTAAGCAATACAGTGCATAATGATACAGAATAATAGTGAATGCTTTGTGTGAGTAGATCCATGAAAGTACTCCGACGTTCGATTATTTCCGTGCAGTCTCGGTAGAGATCGGTTCAAAACAATGTTCACTCACTTTGCCGGCCAGTGACTGTTTGGCTTGAGAGATATATAGTGCAACCATAATATTATTATTTTATCAGTTGCCGCGCTCGAGCTAGTTTGGTTATATTATTGAATAATTACCTTTAAAATAAATACGTTCTTTGATTAGTTGAGAGTGATTATAAGTTGTAATAAGTATGGATCCATCTAATAAAACATCAGCAAAAAATCAAAACACAAGTCAAGTTGCAAACTATAACCCATGGAATTTATTATTTAGTACAAGATCAAGAACGGAAAGTGAAACCAGCAGTTCTTCAACATCAAGTGGATATCAGGCTGGTAAGAAATTTAAAAGTATCTTTACAATTTTTGGCATATTCAAAATTTAAGGCTAACGTTACGTCTAACAAGACTTGTTGACCTTATAAAAGCTGATTGTTGACTTATCTGAATTCAATACAAAAGTCCAAGGCAACCTAATATTTTTACTTAAAAATTATATAATTATCCTAGTAAATATTTACTAAAAGTCGTTCCCCACCATCTATTTTCTTATACAAATATTGTGCTACAAATTGAAGAGTTCAATTTCCCACATCACTTCATAACATAAACTACTTTATTATGAAAGTCTTTTTTTATACAGTGGTACGTAAACATGTGGTATTAAAAATGCCTATGTTTTAAAATATTACTTCATTATTTTACTATAAGAAAAACAGTTATTTTGTATTCGCTGTTATTACATCATACACTTATTAGTGTTAATTGTAAAAAAATGTCGTATAATATGAACGGTCCTAATACGGGTTTATGGCTTATTGAGTCTTAAAATCTGACGTGATTGGCGTCACGTCATAACAAAGGAAAAAATGTACATAATATTTTTCAATACCACAGACTAAATTTGTATAATACAAGAACAGACGTAAAGAATCAGAACCTTAAAATAAATTTCTTGAAGTTATTTTAAATAAAAATAATATATCATACGTTAAAGATTTATTATTAAATATTTATTTTATATTCATATTTCAGGAACACATTTCGGTACACTTCAAAGACAACAGAGTAAAAGCAACGAAGAGTATTTGTGGATGATGTGAGTATCCAAAATTAACCTAATGCAATTGACGCAATTTTATCCACGTATAAAAATATATTTAAATTTTACTGAATAGAACACCGCTGTTTAATCATATTTGTTTCGAACACTTATTTGCAATATCTAAGGTCTATTATAAAATGGCCAAAACTAAGCGCATTGATAATTGTTCTTTGTTACAAAAAAGAACACGATACTTCCTGTACATTTATGTGTCTCGACTTTTGTACTGACGGGGCAATCTTGAAATTTGAATAACAAATTTGATGGTCATTCTCAAAAAAAAAATTACCATTTGTTATAAGAAACCAAATAATTTGAAAACCATGACATTATCTGTTTTAGACAGTTACTCATACTTCAGAACATTTATGAATATTTTATCTTAACACGTAATAATAATGCGGAAGATTCTATAGTTTTAAAATACAAAAATGTCGTTAGCCTTTTAATTGAACATTATTGAAATACACGCTCCAACCCATATACAAAGTACAATTCCCTAACCTATACATAAAAATTAGTTTTATACAGCATTAGTTAAAAAAAAATTATAACGGGTAACGACCCGACGTCAGGTTTATAGTAATTTTAATAAAACAGTTTAAAAAGTAATCCTGTGATATGATAGAGGAACAACATATTCACTTTTGTAATCTTTATATAAGTAAACTATAATTTGTTATTGTCTTAGATATTATAATTAGAAAATTAAATTTAAAAACTCTATTTTAGTACCATTCACTGAGTTTGGAAATCCCAACTAAAGACCAATTCTTCACTTTACTCTAAATTACTTGGGTTTCAAAATGGCACGCAATCATTTATCTCCTTTTTGCCTATTGATTTTTATCACACAATCAAGATATTAAATATTTACCTTTATCGAGATTAACATTTCATTCAAACCAAGTAAGGATTAGGCTTTTTAGAACTGGTCTATTGCAAAAGAAGTGTTTATAAGCAATAAAGGTGGCTCAAGAAGGTCAACCAGTGTTGACGATGTTGCATTCGAGTTGCATTCGCCATCTCATTCAACACACTAGATTATAGTATGCGGGAAAGAGATAGTCGTACAACCGGGTGGCCCTCGCCTCTGTGTTGAAACCTCGGTTGCGTGCGCCCGCGCCGAATCGTTCGCTACCACGCAGTACCAACTTAGACTACACTTGAACAAACTATGTTATTGTGTTACACGTTGAAAGTGACAGTGATATTGGGAATAGAGCACGTGCTATGTTTAGTTACCTCTGGATAGTTTACAACTGTAAACACACATGCATAGGTTAGAAAAACTTTGTTTTTATATTTTTAAAGCTATTTTTGGTTCAATGTTCTGGCGGAGTGATGTTTTTTAATGATTTTTGTATTCAAATATTATTCTATTGTTCTTCTTTGTGCTTATGAATTTTACATGTACAAGTATCAATTTGAAATCATTTTTCTACCATGTAAAATTCATGCGTCATCGGTTTTTTTTTGTCATAATAATAATAATTCAACATACTGTTCAAACAATGCCTTTATATTTAAGCGGAGTGTAATATCTGTTTTTTAAACAATCGACCAAATGAATCAGTTTAACTTTATGAGTGTCTGTTTATAAATAATGTGAAACATATTTTCATATTATTCATATATATTTCAGGAACTTATTCTAAATAAACAAGGTTCTTATGTTTCCTGTCAGAAAAATAAATGACCTTGCATGCATTCAGCTTTCTACTTTATCTTAACATAACGCATGTTTTATAAATGAAGTTTCATAACTTTAAAACAGCAACAAAATACAGATATTTCTATAGATTAAGCAACGTCGCTAAGTTACCTAACATCATCGCAGCAATGCTCTACATGCTCTAATTGCATCTGTTTTAAGGTATTGTAAAATTTTTGCGACATTAAAGCCATTTAGGGTTTACTAGAAGTAATTTTCCTTTTATGTCCTATGTTTTGATAGCATGCATTTTAATTAAATGTGAACGTATCCGTTTAACGACAAAAAGGACTTATTAGGAAAGGAACTGAATGACTCGATTGCAGTAAATTGACATTATTAAACAAAAAACATGTCATATTTTCTATCTCAAATTACATGGAAGATTGAAATTAGATTTTGTATGTATTAATTATATAAAAAACATACAAGAATTTTTTTAAGACATACCATTATATGTTCTTTGAATATGATACTATATTAAACGTGATCGTAACATTTCATAAACATAATAAAAAATTATTTAAGTCGATAAAATTATAAAAATAATATAGGTACCCGGATTTCAAATATATAAAGTTAGACTTGACTTTGACTCGGTTGACTCTTCGCCATGTGGTAACTGAGCTGATAAAAAAAAACAGATAACCGAAATGTTTAATCATTGTAATTTTTATTGTTGGTTATTAAATTACATACTAAATATATAAAAAATGAGGAATAAAAATTCAACAAAAAATATTTTTGTATGAAAATATTTTTCGTCCCAAAATGCTTGGACTAAGAAGTCGGCTTGTTCTGAATGTACAATATCTAAGTATCACAATATCCAGTGTATTTAATCTATCAATTTGGGTTTATTTGTTTAGGTTTATCTATTAAAGTAGCAAGTTTAAAACTCGACCTTATCAGTAACTATATAATGGTACTTCTATACCTGGTATAAAACGGTCAGAATTTCTATTTATCCAGCATAGATCGTGCCAGGAGCAAATTATTCATGAAAAATACCGGGATTTCTTTAACCTTTTATGGAATTAACTTACACCTTTGTTACATGGATTTAAAGTAAGCTGTGGAGCTGATAGCAGTAATGCTTCAGCATTCTCAAATTCAGGAAAACTAATAATATCTTTTCAATATTTCAATTTGTTGAGAATGTTAATACAAGTCCAAAGTCATAATAATATCTTTTTTTATTAATTTTTATTAATTTCTAATTCTTATTTCTATAACAATAAGTGTACTCGTATGTATTTTTTAAGTTAATCTAATCATGAAAAATAAAATTCTCACGGAATTCTCATAGAACCGTTCCTTCTCCGCCTTTTACGCTAATTGAACGTTTTGTTTTCCGGAAAAAAATATCTACCACATACTAGAGTAATCTCGCTATTAGTACAAATTCTTCAGTTATAATTTTTTTCCAATTTTCATGAATAGAATAAATATTTGTTCTCTTCCACATCAAAATTAAAATATATCGTCATGCCTTTTTCGATCTTTAATCGATCATTGGGCTTCTCATTGATCTGGCTTCAACCGACGATCTCATTGAATTTTTTATAGCAAAAAAAAAAAACAATATTTAAATTTGGAACAAACGATTTTTACGAAGAAACTCCACAGGTTATTCATTCGTTGTGCATCTTTGTGTCATCTCTTCTCTCAAACTTACCTTCAAAAATTTATCATTTTTCATT